AAAAATAACATTCCTGTTCAATAAACTTCAATAGCTCCATTACATCTGGCTTATTATGGATTATTCCCCTTCATACACTACTGCTTATATTTCTCCCAACCACCTTTTCCCCCCTTTCTGTTCCTTACACATGATATTCTAGCCCTCATCTCTGTGCCTTTGCACATGCTGTTTCCTGTATCTTCCATGCAATTCCACCTCCACCCCTTAGAATCTCTCTTTTACTTCAGAGCTTAGATCAGGTGCCACTTCCTACAGGAGGTCTTTTCAGATTCACCCTCCCTAGCTTCTAATGCTCCTACCTAGAAATAAAATCACTATGTATTTATGTGTATTGACTCCTCCAGGAGAATGTAAGTACCTTGAGAGCAGGAATTTTCATTTTGATCTTTATATCACCAGTACTAAACACAGTGCCGGGTACTGAGTAGATAATAAATGCTTGTTGTCTACTGATTGAGTCTACCATTCATTTTTGCACCTGAGTAACATTGCAAGGCAATATTTGGTTAATTTATGAACAGCACTGTCTTTGGCACATAAAATGAGCGAGCTGGAAGAATAAATTTATTCTGGGGCAAAGATACACTTGAAGTTTATTACATGAGTACAGATTCAACTTTCAACTTTTAACTTTTATAGGCATATATGATACATTGAACCTTATAAACATGGCTCAGTCTTAAGTAAGTGTGAACTGGTAAAATGCAACTAAAGCTATAATGTTATACCTTTTAAGTTATTGAATCTAGTTTTGACCCCCCCCAAAAGATTGCTTTATGTTCGGTCCTATATGCTTCATTGTTACCTATTAAAGTGTCATTTCACAATAATAAAATGTTTTTTAAATGTCTTCCATGCATGCTGTATGTATTTGATTTTAAAATTTCATCACTCCTTTCCTCTGTGCTTATAATTTTAAAAACTCATAATAAGCATTTACAGTTAGAAAATACTGAGTATTAGGATATCTTGCTTCCCAGAATTTCCAGTTGCTATACACTTGGGTAATGTAAACAGATCTATAATAAAATTATCTATTAAATTTGAAACAAAATATATCAGATAGTCACAAATACATTATTTTTCATTGCTTTTGAGTTGATTTTATATTCAGTACCAAATTGGGTGACACCAGTGTGCTAGAATCTTATAGAATGTTAGATCTAGAAATTTAACCCCTTCATTTTACGGAGGGGTAATCTTATGAGCTAGAAACATGAACTCACATGGAAAAAAAAAAGCAACAACACATGATTTTATGTTGACATTGTAGTAATTAATCTATTATGAATTGTTCCACTCCTGCTTGTTTGAAATACTCAGTTTAATCAGTAATTGTTCACAGTTTTTCCCCAAACATCTCCAAGTCTTACTAATACTTGCAAATGCTTACAAATGACTTCATTTGTATAATTTAAGAGTCAGTTAAAGTTGCATTGCCATAATGACCTGTTTTTTTGCTTCTTTGTTATCCATTTCAAGTTATACAAAACCCCTATAAGGTAATAAAGTGTTGATTATGGTGAGTTTCCACTCCTCATTTTTCCCTTTGCTAATTGTTCAGTCATGTCTGACTCTTCAGGACCCCATTTGGATGTTTGCCATTTCCTTCTCCAGCTTATTTTACAGTTGAGGAAACTGAGGCAAACAGGATTAAGTGACTTGCCCAGGATCACACAGGTGTGTTTGAGGCAGGATTTGTGTTCTGACTCCAGGCCTGATACCACTGTACCACTTAGCTGTTTAGTCCCTTTGCTAGATAAACTGTTAAAATGCCTGAGGCCTTATTAACATTTTTCCCCTGGATCCACAGGCTAGCCCTTTAGATTTCCTAAACCTTTGGTAAATTAAACCTTTTACTTTTCCCACATGTAGATAGCTAACAATACTTTAAGACTTGCAAAGTTCTTTGCAATTTTTTAATAAGAAAAGAAAGTCGCTACAGTCCTGCAACATTGGTGCTATGAAAATTCCAGTATTATAGGTTAAACTGAGATAGAGGTTAAGTTAACTTACTCTGGAATATACAGCTAATGAGTGTCAGAGTCTGAATCCAAAGTAGATATGAACAGCCTGTTAGCCCAAAGCCCAAATGTTTAAGTCCCACTTTGGTGCTTCCTCGTTCTGTGACTTGGGACAAATTAGTTAAGCTAGAAAAGGATACCTTCAGGGTCTTGGGTTGACTTAAAAAACCACAAACTAGCATTATCCTTATTGTATTTTCATTTTACTAAGCTTTTCCATATTATATTTTCAACTGGTTCAGGGCACTGGAGTTTGATACCTCTGCTCTAGGCAACTTTCTGTGACTAGAGTTGCAGAGAAGTACTTTCTTCTCCCCGAGTTCCTTCTTCTAATGAAATCACAAGTCTTGGCCCTGTTACTACTCTTCCACAAGTGCCCTGCCTTTTATTGTTGGCTAGAGTACTAGGCCTGAAGTGAAGGAAGACGAGTTCAAATTTGACCTCTCAGATGATTAAATGTGTGACCTTGGCCAAGTCACTTAGCTTCTGTTTGCCTCAGTTTCCTCAACTGTAAAATGGAGATAACAGCATCTACTTAGCAGTGTTGTTGTGAGAATAAAATGATGTCTTACTTGTAAATCACTTAGCATGGTACCTAGTACTTAGTCGGTATTGTATATATACAAAATGCTTGTTTCTTTCCCTTTCTTTTTGAAGTGGCCTTCCAAACCCCATGGTGGATTAGTGATTCTACTGCCTGGTCCCATTAATGATGGGCTTATTTTTTCCCCATTACCTAACTTTTTCTCTAGCTCAAACTTTAACTTTACTGTTTTATATTTCTCTGAACATTGTGACCCTGTTGTCTGAGGGGTATGCCTTATTAACTTAAGTTACTACCTGCCTTAAGAGAACAGAGGGACAGAATGTTTTAAATAAGAACTTTCCAATAATCTGAGAGATGGGTACAGTCAGCTTAAAGGATTTGAACTAGAGGACTTATAACAGATGAGCAAGCATGAGAGAACTGAGTAGTTTTATGGGACAGTACATAATAAATGCCAGAATAAGTAGTTGATAATAAGTGCTTGATGAACTCAAAACGATGAGCAATCAACCCTGAAAAAGACTTTGTTAAGGAGATCATACTTGCGTCCTCAGTGCTTTCACACTTTGCCCTCACAAGGAAATTATTCTGTGATAGTTCAGGTTCTCATTTCAACAGTCTTCTAATTGACACACCTTCCAGTATCTCATCTCTTATCTATACAGCTGCCAAAATGGCCTTACTAAGGCACCAGTCTGATCCTCTCCGCCCTCAATAAAAAATCAGTTGTTTTCAATTGCTTCTAAGATCAAATATTATCTTCTTAACCTGGCACTTAATGCTGTCTACTTTATAATCAGTTCCAGCCAACCTGGCCAACTAGCTGTTTGCTAAACTTATCATTTCCACTTCAGTCTTTGTGCTTTCTGTGTAGGCTGTCCCTCTCACTAGAAACTCACTCCTTCTCACCTCTACCTCTAGCTTTCTTCAGGATTCTGCTCAGGAGCCTCTGTAGAGCCTTTCCTGCTCCCAGTTCATGCTCTCTTCTTCCTGAAATTCCTTTGTGCTTGCCTGTGTACATACTGTTGTATCTTGTCTAACAGGTCTCTTCTGCCTCTAGTTTTAAATATACTTTACCATATAAAATCAAGTCTCTCATTTGGGCAGATCAGTATGTCACATTTGTGTTTTTCTCTTACATTTTAAAACTAAATTATTGGGGATTATGATTTTTAATTCATTTATTAATATTTATGATTATTCATTTTAAATATTGACCACATGAAAGGATACTGTGCTTGTAAGAGAAAAATCACAGGTAGCATCTCTGCCTTCATGAAACTTAAGTTCAATTTTTGGTTTGGTTTAAGTTCATTCTGTCCTCAACAAAGTAGCCAGGAAGTTTTTAAATGGTATGTTTTAAAGGAGTCTCTTGTGATGTCATATGGCCAGTTATTAAAGAGACAACTGTCTAAGAATCCAAACTACCAAGAAGGTGCTTACCTGTGTTGGTAGAGTTAGCGGACGTCTTTTTTTTTTTTTTTTTTTGCCAGGCAGTAGGGGTTAAGTGACTTGCCCAGAGCCACACAACTAGTAAATGTTATGTGTCTTGAGGTCACATTTGAACTCAAGTCCTCCTGACTCCAGGGCTGGTGCTCTATCCACTTCACCACCTATCTGCCCCAGGGAGCAGGCATTTCATCATCCAGGAATTCCATATATAGATGAAACCCAAGGTCCAGTCCCTCTCCATCTTGTGTAACACCATGACTTCAGAAGAATTAAAATTCCAAGTAACACACAAATGAGCAGTGGAATATGTACACACTTGTATGTATTTGTTTGTTGTCTTCTCCCTTCGATTGAGAGCTTCTTGAGGGCAGGGACTGTCTTTTGCCTATATTAGTATCTAGTGCTTAGCAGAGTGCCTGGCACATAGCCCTTAATAAATAATGTTGATTGACTGAATGTTACAGTTAGAAATAAACAGATAATAGTGTGTTGCCAATAAAGTTGGGGTGGGGAGTAGGATGGCATCAGAAAAATTAAGGAGGATGAATACAATATATGTTGCCTTCTAATTTTGTTCAATGAGACTGACAGTACATATAACCACTAATTTTTTTTAATACTTTTTTTTTCTTTCAAAGAATACTTTCACTATAGAATGCTTAGTTTCCTAATGATAGACTAATTGGGACAGGAAACCTTTTGTCTAACATCTGTAGAATCACTCATAATTTCTGTTCTTTCTCTATTAGATATTAATTTAATAGCTAATCTGAATAAATTCCATTTATTAAAGATACCTTTAGTGTTCTTATGTGGTTAACATATTGAAGAGGCACCCAAGGGAAGTCAGATAGTTAATGCTGGAATGTCATCTGCTAACTTATACTCAGATCTATGCATCTTTCTCATTGAACCTAATAAATTATTAAACTCGAACATAATTGAGCCTGATTGTGTGATCTTGTTACTCCTAGAATGGTCCAGAAATAGAAACATGGAGGAAACTCAATCTGGTTAACATGAAGGTAATACTACTAGCAAGGGAAAAGCACCTTGAATCCGTGGCAAGGGCAATAACGGCTTCACCTTTTGACTAGGTAAGTTTGGTGTAAGCCCTAATCCTGTCTTCTCTGGTTTTAGTCATACTAGACCATTCCTCTCTTTTAATATAGGATTTATAGATTTACTATATGTAACACATGCAGTATTCCACAGGCATGTATTGGGAACCAATTGTGTACAGTACCCATGCTCAGTAAGGAACTATCCTTTTGTATAATTGTAATTTTTACAGCAAAATATTAACCAAGTCCTTAGAGTATGTATTATGATTACTGAAATTGTCTGAATATTTGAAGATTAAACTTTACACTTTTTTGCTTTCAGCTCCTCCTGTTCGGTCTTTTTAAATGCATAGCACTTTCTGATCTTAGTAAGTAAATATAGTAAACACAATTGAATATTTCTTTATCGATTCAAGATCTCACAGGGTCTCAGAAGCATCATTCAGAACACAAATCTTCATGTAAAATGCTGAAGATGTAGAAGTCAGAGGAAAGGGTGGTCAATTTTGATCCAAAGAGTAATATCTCTCTGGTGACTATAAATAACTCAAAATAAATTGTCAGGTATAACCCTTTCAAAGCAGTCTCTTAGTGTTTTAAGAAGTAAAGAGCTATAAAGACAGATTAACCAGATAATATAGCAAAAGGAAGTTCAAATTCCATAAAAGTAATATACTAACCCTTATAAATGGCTTAGTTTTCTTTGTTATTCTTTTTCTTTCTCAGTCTCTTTCCCTGTTTCTCCCTCAAAGGATAATTGGAATAGACTTGAAGGTACTGTTGTGGTCTGAGAGGGTTCGACCCCTCAAGGATCAGAGTATAGGATGGGGTCATCTGGAATGAATTCACAAACTCAAGCATTCTTTGAATCAAGGTGCAAAGTTTTATTGTTACACTATCTGTATAGTGTAACAATGGCAAGGATTCTCAAGGAAATTGCTGTGGTGGGCAGAGCTCCTTAGGGAACGTGCAACTTGACAGGAATGATGCTAAAGCTTATATAGGAAAAGTAGTGAATTGTGTGGCAAGTATGCTAATTAGGTAATAACGTACAACTACATCATTCACTACTGGAAACTGGGGGGGGGTGGTCCTAAGGGGTGTATTTTTGGTTTGTTATTTCTCTAATCAGATAGTTTAGGGAGTTGACGTCTATAGCTTGACCTCTGGATTGTATACGTAACTGGGCATCAGTACTTGATAGTTCTGCTGGTACAAGATAGTACAAGAGAAATTCTACAGAGGTCATCTTGTTCTTGTAACAGGGAGCAATAGTTTGCCTCACTGGGCCCACTTGTGAATTCTTGCCAGAGATAGAGTCCTTGGACTGGAGGGAAACTGTCAGGGATAGTGCCTTGAGGCCAGGGAGAAATTGGAGTCCAAGCACAGGCACCAAGCACCCCATCAGTACCATCATTTTTAGTCTAGAATCTTCATCTTTGAATGATGAGGAAGATGAGGATGGAGATAGATGAAATGACATTATTTTATAATAAGTGCGGCAGAGCTGGTATATGAATCCAGGTCTGCCGACTTCACATTCAGGCTTTTTTCCACTGTATCAACCGCTGCTCCCTTTCTCCTTTTTTCTTTTTGTTGTTACTACTTCCCCCTAGCTGGATGTAAATGACTGTGAAAGAGATTTTTAGAGTATTTCTTGTATTTATTGTTTTCCTCCTCTGAAATCCAACCGTGATACCTGATCATATGAAGGTGGCTATGGATTCTCTAATGTTGTTGCTCATGAATTTTAAACTTAAGTAATGCCTTCTAAGATGGGAAAGTCTTCACATATGAGACTGGAAGCAGATTATAGTCTAAGGATTAACCTAGCTAAGTTTGGAAAGGCATGTTTACCAGAGTGTTAGTCATCAGATGGTGAAATTTTTCAGCCACCAGAAAAAGACTGACTGATGAGGGCTATAGAAGTATTATCTATGTTTGGGGGGAAATACCCTCTGTAATGAAATCACAGATCCTTGAAGTAATAAAGTTATCAATTAAGTTTTGCTTCTTACCCTTAGTTTAAAAGCCAAGTGTGCTTAGTTTTTTATATACCTGGTTTTTCTCCTCCTCCCCCACAAAAATCCACTTTAAAACAACTTGTCCTCTTGTGTTTGAAACTCTTTATTCCCTTCTGTGGTTATTGGCTCCAGATTTATACTGACTGTGCACTCCAAGAGATAAACCTAAAAATTGATATTTAAACTCATTACCAATATCAGCTTAGCTTCTGATGACTTGTTTCTTTTTGGAGAGTAGGTTAAGGGAGGGGTTATATTAATTAAATATTCTAGTTTTGATTAATTCTGGCTTTATCATATATACATTTAATTTTTCTAAGAACCTTGAGGTTGATCACAAATAGAATCCCCTGTCATAGGAGTAATTAATATTGTTCCTCTTTTACTGATGGAAAACCTTAGTAGCTCCATGGAAACATGAATGAATGATTCATAGCATAATTAATTCCAACTCTCAGGTTTAGTAATAGAATCCAAAGATAGCATAGATTATCCATAAGTAATTTAGAAAAGCAACAGTGACTAAGTCAGTAAAGGATTCATGCCTTTCTACCAGACCAAATCATTAGTTTTATCTCTGCCGTGGCATATTTAAAATTTTGCCTCTTTGGAAAAAGGCATTATCCTAAATGGTTAACTTGAGAATTAGGAAGTACATTCCAATCAGGACTAAACTTGTGGTTTTGTTGGTGTAGGAAATTCCCTCTACCACTACAAGTGGGAACCTTCTCTGCAACTTTCAATCTTGAAGAGTGGCCTGCCCAACTGAAAGGTGAAATCATTCGCCCAAAGTCACATGGCTAGGATGTGTCAGAGGCAAGACTTGAACTTAAGGTCTTCCTGGCTACAAAGTTAGCTCTCTATCCATTGGGCCACTTGTACATAGGAGATGCAAAATAACATTTCTTGATCTGATAATATTTGATAGAAAACCAATAAGTTGTGCTGATTATATGTATATAAAAACAATATAATATGTTATAAGTAAATTGTGTTAGATAGGACTAAAAGAGGTTATGTTTATTTGACTGCTTTAAGTTTTAGTATTTATATGATAAGGTTATCCATTAGGCTTTCTTGGACAAATTCCAGTTTGACCTCTGCCTTCTATCTGACACTAAATGTTGGCACTTGGCCAAGTATGCTTCTTTAGTAATTAAAGTAGAATAAAAGATCAAGGTTCACTCTAAGTCAACAATATGACATGACAGCTGAAAAATCTTTTTTTTTTTTCTTTTGCCCAGACCTGTGATTTCTTCTGTATTGGGGACTTCCAGCAAGGAAACTCCCTTGTACCAATACAGATTGGCAACTGGTCAGGAATTTACAGTCTTAGAAAGTTGCCTAGAACAGAGATGTTAGAAACATGGACACCAGGCCTCTAGGTTCCCTCAATACTCATAAGTCTGTCCCTAAGCAGAATAAAATATAATTAGGAAATATTTAACAAAATAAATAAAAATACAATAAAAATGGATATTATGTTTTAAAACTAAGTTGATTTACTGCCTTCAGGGATCCTTAATATGAATTGGTGGCCTCCATTTCTATTTGAGTTTGATACCATTGACTAGAACACCAAGAAGTCAAGTGGTTTGCCCATGTTCATATAGCCACTATGTATTAGAGGCAGTACTTGAACCCAGGTCTTTATTACTGAGGCCAGCTCTCAATCAACTCTGCCATGATGCTATTCTTGCCTCTTTTATAACCTTAGAATAAATTAGTAGAAGCACCATGTTCTGTAATTCTGCTGTATTCTGCCCTAGTCCAATCCCTGTAGAGATTTTGTCTTCAGTTGAGGGGTTCATATGGATATTGATAAACTGGACTAGATCCAGAAAGGGATGGCCAGGTTGGTAAGAATACTAGAGACTTGCTATTCAAGGATTATTTGAGGAATCTAGGCAATTTAGCTTAAAGAAGAAAAGATTTAAGAAAGACATGATAGCTGTCTTCAGGTATTTGACCAGGGAGATTAGAATTGTTATTTTTAGCAAAAGAAGAAATAATGGGTGGAAATTGAAGAGAAGCAAATATTTAGATCCTTGTAGGGAAAACTTTAGAACCTTTAGAACTTTACAAAATTGCTTTAGGAGGTGCTGGACTCTCCTTCACTTGAAGTTTTCAAGAGGTCAAGAATTATTATAGAAAGGATTCCTATTCAGATACAAGTTAGATTAGATGTCTTTTAGGTTTCTTCTGTCTCCTAGAGTCTGAAAAAATGCTGCCATAGGGGCAGCTAGGTGGCGCAGTGGATAGAGCACTGGCCCTGAAGTCAGGAGGACCTGAGTTCAAATCCGGCCTCAGACCAAACACTTGACACTTACTGGCTGTGTGACCCTGGGCAAGTCACTTAACCCCAATTGCCTTAAAAAAAAAAATGCTGCGATAACTGCAAGAGTTAGATATGAAATAACAGATGACCACAGAGTACTTGTAAAATTCAAGGGGCTTTCTCTTTTATAAAGCAAAGTGTCCTAAGTTTAGCCCTGGCCAGCTCGGTGCTGATAGTAGTCCATCATTTTGTACCCAGGCGAGTCAATGCCTCCCAGGCACAATCAAATGTAAACTTTGCTTTCTGAGACCTAACATACAATTGTAATTTTTCATAGGAGACATAGACAGTTAACAAAATCCCTCTAACATAAGACACATTTTTGTTGTGTCATGTTTTTATCTACAGCATAGGTTCCCAAAGTGGGCATTACCCCCCAGGGGGATGCAGTTGGGGAGCATTGAATAAAAATAAAGAGGCGGGGAAGCATAAGGAAAGAAATGAAGAAAATTTTGAAAAACTGCTTGTACGTGTTTCATGTGTTGTGTAGCAGAGTTCAAGTCATAGTGATTATGTTATTTTCCAAATAAACACACAAAAATGCAAGTTATAACTGATCAGTGGTCAAGCCCACCAACAGGTCTTAGCAGGCAAGTGTTGGCAGGCGAGTTTGTCACACATTGTTGGGAAGTCCAGCATGCATCAACAGTGATATGTGCGTGTAATGACTAGTTTACAATATGATACTCTATGGTTACATGATGCAGTATTGTGTCATCAAAATTTCAGTGCAAGGAAAAAAACTACACATTTACAATAAATTATTGAATTTAAGATGTGTCATTTTAAAAATACATATTATATTTTTTAAATGATGCAAATTTAAAAAAACATTAAAGGGTTAAAGAAAGTAGATTTCTAGGGGGGTGCTGGGTAATTTGGGGGGGTGCGGTAGGCCAAATAAGTTTGAAAATCTCTGATCTAGAGCTTTAATCTGGTACCTCTTCTTGTGCAGATTTGAGTATGAGCACAGTTGAAGAGGAGTCTGACACAGTGACAGTAGAAACTGTGAACTCTGTGACTTTGACCCAGGACACAGAAGGGAACCTTATTCTTCATTGCCCTCAGAATGGTATGGAGAATTCACTGATACTTAGTATCTCTAAATAATTAATCTCTAAATTTGTGAGGTCCATGTCACTTTGGTACTGAGTTATCCAGGCAGAAATTTAAGGTTAACACAATAGGAACAGAGGTCTTTACGTGATTAAGCTTGATTTGGTGTTTCTTTGCCTTTTATTTATGACTTTTACCCTGCCACTTTAACTTATTATTCTCAAAAAGTTGGTCATTAGTCATGATGGCTGAACAAACATTAACACCTTTTGTTGTTCTACATTTTCAATTTGTGTATAGGATGTCCCAAAAATCTTAGTGCACTCTTGAAGCTTAAAACTGCTCTAAGACTTTTGGAAGAAACACCCTGTGATGGAAATTAAAGATTCTCCCCAGTTTCTAAATTACAACTTACATAGACAAATAGACTTCCTTTTTAAACCTTTGAAGGAATTTCAGAAGGATAGTAACATTTAATCTGCTCATTTATAATATATTGAGATACTCCAACTTTTTAACTAGATAAATACATTTCCACTGTTGTCTTTATAGACTAAGTAAATTATTTGCCAGACGGCCCCAAACTGGAGTCCTTTGAAGTAGTACTTTTGTTAATATGTTTCCCTTGATCAGCTGAGCGACACTGATGGCATAGAGAAGATGCCCTCTGGGTACTGGCCTCTTCATTCACCCCGGATTTGGGGAGATTGGGCACATGAATAGGGAAGATGCTGTCCAGTCTTCTTTGGCTTGAGTCTTAGTTTTCATTTTTGATCCTTGATTTTAGTTTTTTCCCTGAGCTTTTTGCTTGTTAATAGAGCACTGGATCTTTTTTGTTATTAGAGGCTGATGAAATAGACTCAGAAGATAGTACTGAACCTCCAAACAAGAGATTGTGTTTGTCCTCTGAGGATGACCAGAGTATTGAGGATTCTACACCCTGCATATCAGTTGTTGCACTTCCACGTAAGTCCCTTCGTGTTAAGGGCACTATATTCTTTGATTTACTAAAAATATAAACTTTAAGAATTTATGTGTACACTAGGGCAAGCATTTCTAGGTAAAGTCTAAGCTGTGTTTACTTTTACTTATTCTCACAAGGTCATAAAACTAATTTATATGAGTTTTTGGTTACAAGACAGTTAATAGTAATTTTGATTTAGTTAATGTTAAATAAGAAGTTAAAAGTTCTCATCATGGATATATTTTGAGATCATTTAGGTCAAAATGTCTCTGACTGAGAGAAAAGTGTCAGAATCTTTTAAGTACAGTTATTCAGCATGAAAATAAGTACCTGCATGAATAGATATACACTTTACATATAGATTTATTTAATTAGATTCAATAAGAAACAAGCTTTTTAGCTTTTGTCATGAGACTGTATAGAAAGGAATAAAAGAGATTTGGGAGTGAGTATTCTTTCCTCCTAATGATGTCTCACTGTGAGTTGATTTAAGAATTTGACTGGGTTTGCTGCACAAATAGACTCATGGGTGGGAAATTTAAGTTGAAATTTTAAAAATATTACAGTGATCCAGTATGGTACAAATGGTTAATTTCTTACAAAGTAATTTGACCAGAGTAAACTGCTACCAAGGCCAGGTTTGTAAATTTAAATTACATGTTGACCAGTTTGTTTAATTTCATGGTCATAGGCTGAACTCTAATCTTGATCATGTATGTTCTTCCTCACAAATGAGACTAGCTGAGATAATAAGGATGAATCATAGCAAATCCGTCTCCATCTCTGAAAAAATGACATGAAGCACATCTAGGGACAAAAGGATAACAGTAACACTGAATATATTAAAATACAAAAAGCATTACTTTCATATACTCTAATGTGAAAGAAGTAGATTTACAATCATTTGGGAATTATGAAATATGCTTTTAAAAATTTCCACATTAGCACAGTGTTACAGATATTTTTAAGTCCTTTCAACCACATGGAAGAGTATTGCCCAAGAGTATAATAACTTTATGATAGAAAATAAATGTTCAAATACCTTTTCATTACTGTTTTCATAGTAGCTAGAATTAGCCATTATTGTTGTGGGTGGCATATGTTCTGGAGTTTAGTTATTCCTCTAACTTTACATCTCTTGAAGTTTCAGAAAATGATCAGAGCTTTGAGGTGACTATGACCGCTACCACAGAGGTGGCAGATGATGAGATTACTGAAGGAACAGTGACACAGATCCAGGTATGGTAAACCTTCCAACTTGACTCAGAATGGGATTGGTCAGCTGCTTTTAGCAGTATTAATCTAAATTTCGATATTAACATCTTTTATTTGAAGAGAAACTAAAAAATTTTGATCTGAGCTACTGGGGTAAGATAAGTGGAGTGGAAAGAGGAAAAGAAACCAGGTAAAAGTCTTCAAAAGGACAATCAGAAAGAAGAACCAGTTAAGAACAGTGTCACTGAAGCTAAGGAAAGGAAGTATCAAGAAAGAGATGTAGTCGAACAATGTAGAAGTATCAGAGGATGAAGATTGAGAAAAAGTCATTGTATTGGCACTTAAGTCCTTGGACATCTTGGAGATAGCAGTTTAAGTTTAGTAATGGAAACAAGCAAATTGGCACAAGGTGCTGAGGAGTGAATGGTGAAGAAATTAAGGCAGCTGGCATAGACTCTTCCTTCTGTAAATTGGACAGTGGAAGAAAAGGAGAATTTATCATTTGAGGGGGTAATAGAGTCAAAGGAAGGTTTTTAAGGATAGAGACAACCTGTGCACATTTGGAAGCAGATGGGCTTGACGCAGATTAAAGATCTCAGAATGTGGATCTGGAAGGTACCTCCAAAGTCCAACTCTCTCATTTTACAGATAAGGAAATTGAGGCTCAGAGGGTTATATGACTGACCTAATCCATTTCCTTCTCCATTGTGTCCCTATTTTACCGATGAGGAGCTGAGACAAGTAAGGGTTAAGTGACTTGCCCAGGATCACACAGCTAGTAAGTGTCTGAGGCCAAATTTGAACTCAGGTCTTCCTGACTCCAAGACCAGTGCTGTATCCATTGTGCCATGTAGCTGCATAAAATCCTCTGTTTGGCATTTAAAGCCCTTCATAACTTTTTCTATAAAATGAGGGAGGTTTGGACTATATGATCTTTAAGGTGCCTTCTTGATCTAACAATGAAAGGGTCCTGTGAATCCCTTCTGCAGACCTGGAAATGTTAGTACTGTCAGCAGGTGAGTCCCACTAATTTTAGATATTTAGTAAAAGTTAGTTGCAAAAGGTTAACCAAGGCTACCATGACACCATACAAATTAGTTAGAGAAAATAGCAGTGAAAGTATCTTATCTCTTACTTCAGTCTAACTTTTCTGATGTCTTATACCAAAATACAGGATTATAATACAGGCCATTCTTGCATTGGTTAATCAGCAAATATTTTTTAAGTGTCTCCTATATGCCAGGCTCTGTGCTGGGGACACTGTAACAATGTCCAGACAGGTTTGGTCTTCTAACTGTGATTCAGATTCAGACATAGGCTGAATCTATTACTCAGCTCTTCTTTAAAGTCAGTCTACTATATAGAATCTGACATTTCTGATTTATGACTTTTGATCACAGACTTAGAGCTTGAGCACCTAGCTTACCCCTTAAGTTTATAAAAAAGAAACCAAAGGCCCATGGAATTTTAGTGATCTGCCCGTGGTCATGGAGGTCACAAATCGAATAGCCAAGGTTTGTACTTAGGACTTGTAGCTCAGAAGGTTCTCATTAACTTGTAAAAACAAATTATTGCATACTATAAAATGACAGGAAGGAAAATACTTTGTTTATACAAAAGCTTTTAACTTCACACTAAATAAAAACACAAGAAAATGTTTGCTTCACCAAATCATTCATTTTCTATAGCTAATTAGGAAACAGTGGCATAGTAGCTACGGAACTGCACACGGAATCAAGAAAGACGAGATTCAAATCTTGCTTCAGCCACTTCCTAATTTCGTGACTTAAGTCAAGTCACTTTGAGCCTCAGTTTCTTCAAGAGTCTATTGCCCTGGGTTATTATAAAGATAAAAAGAAATAATGTATGGTAAGTGTTTTGCAAATTGTAAAGCACTACAGAAATATTGGATAATACTGTTATTACTCCTTTAGAGCAAATGACTTTTATTATCCTTCATAACCATATCTTATTCTTAACTTCCATAAGTATTTCTCATTGTTTTAATCAAAAATTCTATTTATATCTGGAATTACAGAACACAGAAGAATCACAAGACATTCATTGAGTTAATGATCTTTTTTTCATATTTTCCTTTAAAGATCCTACAGAATGAACAGTTGGATGATGTGTCTCCCTTAGGCAATGAAGAGGTTTCAGCTGTTAGCCAAGCTTGGTTTACTACTAAAGAAGATAAGGATTCACTAACTAACAAAGGTATGATTCTCAGTGACTTTGGTCCTACTACCTGGGGGAATGAAAGTGTAACTCTCATCACATGTGGAGCTGATGAGTCTAAGATTCTCTGAAACGGACTTTTATATCTCTAATCAAACACCTCAAACTAGGTCAAATATGTCCCTGAGTGAAAGAAAAAGCAAATCTAGCATTTATTTTTCACTCCACTAGCTGGTGACTGAAAATATTTTCTTTTCTCATGTATTTTTTTTTTCTCTTATGCACAGAGGTGTAGCAAGGCTAAACAATGTAGTTGCCAGTTTGCTGCTATGGAGACATGAATTAAGGTCAAGGTGATGTTTCATGAGTACTGAGCCTAGCTTCAGTGCTACTTTGGTCTAATAATCATCTAGTGATTCTTTGTCTGTACTATTTGCACAACCTTTTTGGTGATGAGGGTAGATCTAGGAGCTGCTAAGGGATGAGGTAGAAAGTTAGTACTGGAATGAATGTCGCTGTGAGTTGATGAGGTGTGTGGGAAGGAAGAAGAGAAAACTAATAAAGCATTAAATATTGGTGACTCAAATTGTAAAGCCATTATTGAACATTGTGCCACTGGGATGTTCAGTGCTTTCTGTGTACTTAATAACATATGGATGGATGGATGCCATATCCATCTTTAGATAGGAACTAACTGCATATTGTGTTGGAAGAATAATAGCGAGCTGCAATAGATATTTTAATAAATGACATACTGTAGCCTCTTTGGGATATGTTTGTTGTTCTTAATAATTATTTTTTAAAAATTAAAGTAGATTTGAACATTAATAAGTATCAAACAAACCACCTGGAAGGGTCTTCCTACAAGTTTCATGGGCCTTATTTTAGCGAAAAATAGAACTAGACCTCCAGGAATACTTGTCCTCCCTCTCCTCCAGTGTCTCATTGTGGTATGAAGATGACTGGCTTCTTGAAGGCTGTGCCAATGGAGCACAAGCCATGGCAGATTCTACCACACTGGAAAGATTTGAAGTAGGGCTCTGGTAACAGGCTATGTCTACTACTTTCCAAGGACCAGACTGGCTAAATAAGGAAAAGCTCACCGCCACTAGGCTGGTCACATGGCTATAATTTCGTTAGGCATGTCCACCCATGACCACCTACTTCCAGCCCAGCCCCTACAGCCATCATGCACAAGAACAATCCTAGTGGAGATGCAACCTGGCCACTGCCTCTGCTAACACTATTAAAAACCCAAAACCGAAAATTCTCTCACCACCAAGGTCCTTGGCACCATCAGATGGCTCAATGTCAGAAACAAGTATGACATTCTCAATGGAAATGACCCTAAAGAAGATGCATTACCATCTGCTTTGTTGCTGAACCCTAAGGATCACTGTGCCCTTAGTTTGCACTGAGGCCTGCTAATGCATTCTGTCCTCCCTTTAGTATGTAAACGTGAAAGCAAGAACTTGCTCTTCTGTTTGTATTTCCAGGACATTGTTTTGCATAAAACAAAAAAGAAGAGCAAGTGCTTTCAGTCCTGGGTTCCCTTTCCCATTTCTTCAATAATAGTGAAACAGGGGGCAGACTATCCATAGATATTTACTGAGCTGTTGATACTCTAAATGTAAGGTCCATGTGCAGTGACCAACAAGAAGACATTATACTGAAGAAACTAAGACATCAATCTTGTTTTCTTTGCTATATACAAAAGCAAAAGAAAGAAGGAATGGAAGAATGTTTTATAGTTTCTTTTATTAGTTACTCATATTATGATAATATATTGGGAAATACTTTGCAAATCTTAAAACACTATATAAATGTTAGCTGTTATTCTTATTTGAAAAAAGACCGTGATGAAAATAATTGCAACTTACAGACTAATGTCTGCTACAAAGAACAAAGAGAGATTTGATGAAGAAAACTCATTCATATGATCTTTTAAATTAAGTTAGTATATGCTTTGAAACTCAGTGATTTCAATGCAGAGGTAGGCATAGATAAGCATGGCAAAAAATATAATTAGGAAGTGAGGGATGAGAGAAGCCAAAAACATGCAAACCATATGTAGAAGCCTCATGCCCATAGATCAGTCCTTTGTTCCTTTGTTTGAGAAAAGAATTGGGAAATACAGGATGTAGTGAACATCAAATAACATCACAAAAAAAATGAAACTGATTATATTTTAATAGCTAGGAAACATCTAGTTATTGATGTGGAAATCATTTAATCATCTTTCTGCTTATAGTCACATCACTAGTTTGCTAGAGCAGAGGTCAAAATTTATGCAAAAGTAGAAGAATAAAAATGACAAAAGTTCTGATATATGTAATTTTAAAAACTTTAACCTGACCTATTTAAATTAGTAATTGATGCTAAATATTGGGAAATGGATGGAGGAAAACATACTAACATTATAACAATTTCATATAGAAGTTTAACCAACATGAGTCAATTGCCATTACAAGGAGACTACAAGTGACTAAAAAAAAAATTGGTCACCAAATCAAGAGAGAGTGACTGAGAAAGAGAGAGAGAGAAATTGATATTAACTAGACCAATTTATATGGCCGCTTTGACTTTTATGATCTTATTGCTAACCAGTGAGATATGTCAGCCAAAGGCAATAACAGTTTACAATATGAATTCGTTCATAAAATGTGAAAAGGGATGATGCAAAATTATGAGGAATATCACCTCAAAACAGCAAGAAACTGTGAAAGGAAAAAATAGTTTGGAAGAAAGATTGTTAAGGGACTCAACTAAGTAAAATCATCACAAGACCTTTTAAGGATGAAACTAGACCAAATATGGAAACAATATCTACTTCAATAAAGAAAGTTTCCACATTGAGAGTTCCTCACAGTGATGAAATTCCATGCCTAGAACTATAACAACAAAAATTCTTCTGATAATATTGTGTGACTGAGTCACAGAACACCAGTCTGAGACAGAAGAACTGAAATGTGAATCACCCAAAGGACAAGGGAGAGGTGAATGGTGGGAATGAGCAGGAAGGCAACATATTGCAAAGGCAGAATTATGCAGAAGAAGCTCTATAAATGGTGTCAGATGTATGATTGAGAAAGAAGATAGATCGTCAAATGTGTTCCATTGGTGCATACATGATGTTAATGTCGTCTGAAGAAGGCTCTGCACTTTAAACAGAACTCCTGTGGCAAACTTATGGGAAGACATAAACATAGTCCTGTAGGAGGGGCAAACATGAATGGGTTGTCATCTGCATCATTCATTGGAAGGAATACCCAAATTAATGAGATCACAGATCTATTTGAAAACTGGAGTATAAAATCAGAAGGATAAGGAAAGTACCTAATGAAAAGGAATAGTACTTCCCGTTAAATTATGTATAAAGATTTCCTTTTGCCTATCTTAAGATATATATGTGTTTTCATTGCAGGTTTAGGATTTTTAAAGCCAGAATGACCATATAAATTGGTGTAGTTAATATCAATTTTCTCTCTCTCTTTCTCACTCTCTCTTCTTCACAAAATTTTTCATAGAGAAAAATTTTAAGGGTGAATAATGTAAAACCAGGTAATGTGAAAGCAGATTTATTTAGGAAGATGGGATTTTTTCAATTGTTTATTTGTCTGCTTTACAAATTTAATCAGTCAGAACTTTGTTACTCTTGATAGCAAGCAATACCAGTTTCCATGACATTGCTTATTGTTTTTTTTAGGGCATAAATGGAAGCAGGGAATGTGGTCAAAGGAAGAAATTGACATTTTAATGAGTAATATTGAACGTTATCTAAAGGTATCTATTATCATGTATTTTTATGTTTAATTCATTTAATCCAACAAAAACATTCAAATAAAAATGATTAAGCATAAAACTATAAACTCTAAATTAATTATCATTTGTTTATATAAATTTTTTAACAAAATAATAATAAAACCATTCTGTTTGCTTTCATGTCCCCTTCTCATCCCTTTTTCTTTTGTATATTTTTTACAGACTTTGTTGCTATTGTTGCTTTTTTATTTTACAAGACATTATCAATGATTTTTTGTTTTGATTCTGTTTTCTGAAGTACATCACTTTATATAAATTTTCCTATTTTTCTTTAAATCTCACATTTCTTGATATAACATTTCATTATTTTTTAATTGCTTTCATTCATCATATGTCCTGTTTGTGAAAAAAAATTGACATAATTTTAATACAAATATCCCTAGGAATTTATAATTATTTGCAGTGTTAGAATTCACCAGTGTAATATGTCTTAATAATTCTAATGTACATGATCATCATTTTGAACTTCCTAAAAACTTTACTTCAAATTTTAAGTCTGAGCTTCCCTTGCTAAAGTACTTCTGCTGTCACACTTAAGAATAGGCTTGTAAAGCCTTAGTGTCTTGTCAGGACTTTAAAGCACATTGCAAGGAACCTACATTTTGTGGAATCAATTCAGCTTATATGGTCTTAAGGCCAAGAATTTAATTTCTCTCTTTGACCTTAAACTGGGTCTGACTTGCTTAGAATGTGATTGCTTCTCCTGTGAAGGCACAGCTATCAGCTATTGGATTGCCTCAGAAATAATGGGTGACCAACCCTATTAGGTCCAAAATCCAGGGGGTTTGCTGACAGGAGATATTTGGAGTTCGGGGGAAGAGAAGGGAGCTACCATGGAATTGTAGAGAGTATAATTGTAGTCATTGTCCTCCAGCCAACAGATATTAATTGAGTATCTACTATGTGCAAGGTACTACATAAATGCTATGGGGATACAGAAGATATAAGGTATGTTCCCTGTTTTCAAGGATCTTATAGTCTAACTGAAGAGATAAGATGTATACTTCTTCAACTGCAATGATCTGTGATTTTGTCAGAGTGGATATTCCTCCACCGTATACCAATGGTCTTCCAAAGCTCCTTTGGCCAAAAAATTCCTCACCCTACAGGCAACTTGGTAATGAGCCTCTGAAAACTTAGGTACTTTGGTCCTTGGACAACAGATATCATCAGTGGGCCTATACTTGAAGCTTTTCTTGCTTGGAAGGACCTGCCAAAACTGGCAATCAGTCATAGCTGTCATAGCTTTCAAAAATCCATCAGAGTAAAACTTTAATGGACATACATACGTTGCAGCTAAGTTTATAACAGTGAGTGCCAAATGTGAACCAGATTGCAAGTGCTTTAGGAGCTCTGAAGAGGGAGAGAGTGATGCCCCAAGTTTCTCCTACTCTTCCATCAGATTCTCAATATAACTGAACTTGGAAATCTGCTTTGTACTTTTTACTCTTCCTGTGTATAGAAGGGAACACTGGTGCCTCCAGCATAATCTCTAAATAAGATGAAACTTATGTCAAACTTCACTACTTTATGATCTGCAGAAATTAATATAAATACAAAGAATGTCTCCTTTCAGGGTGGGAGCCTAGGTTTTAAGTGAGCAGTAGTTAACAAGGACAACGTAGAAACTACATTTACCCAAAACTACAGAGAGAAAAAAAGGTTGAGTTGTAAAATGAAGAGTACTAAAGTGTTACCAAATGACCTCTGGCAACTTCCCCATGAATAACAATAGTAATGATATTTAAAAGGGAGCTGTGTATTTAGGGTAAGCACAACAATGTAGTGGAAAGAAAAATCTGTTGTCTAGACTTAGCTCTTTGACCTCAGTCAAGTCATTTAAACTCCTTGGACTTCAGTATTCTCACCTCTAAAATGATCATTCCCAGCTCCTTGATTGAGGGAGAAAGACAATGCAGAGAAATGAACCAGCTGAGAGACCACTGCGGTTATCCAGACTGGAAATAATAAGGATTTGAACTAAAATGGCGCCTGTGAAAATGGAAAAAAAGCATTGGGAAAGGATTGAGGAGTAATTTACCTGGATGTAGAGAAAGAGAGTAGCCATGAATGACTCCCAAATTTTCCAGCCTGGGTTCTTGGGGAAAATAAATTGACAGAAATAACATTGTGTGGAGCTGGAGTTGGCTTGTGAGAAAAGAATGAACTTGGTTTGTAAACACTTGTTACTATATGCATGGTGCTTTTTCTGGTCTGCTTTACAGTGATTTATTTCCCAGAAGAGCCCTGTTAGTTCAGTCAGCACCTGGTACCTAGCATAATAGAGAAGAGCTTCAGACCTGAGTGCCAGTACTGGCTTGGCTACTTCCTGTCAGTATGACTGTGGGCAAATCACTTACCCTCTCTGGGCTTCAGTTTCTTTATCTATAAAATGAGGTGGTTGTACTTCTGAGATCCCATATAGCTTTAAATCTTTTACCTCTACTCTGTCTCATATAATGAGTAAAGTGAAAGGTAAAAATAACTACAGTAAGCCAAGAACAGATTCCTTATGAGAAATATGTTCTTGGTGTTCATTTTATATCCCAGTTCTGTCTGCAGAAATAAACAAGAGTTCATTGATTTAAGAGGCAGATACAACTTTATGGAAGATCATCTGTTTAGAAAATGTTTTAAATTTTTCATAATTTTAAAAGCAATTTGACACTTTTCATTTGTAAATGAAGTTGCTATCATTTTTCATATTTTTAAACTTCATTTTTTGCATCATTTTTAAGTTTGTCGGTAGCATTTCTGATAACATGGTGTATATAAATATATATATATGTATATATACATACAGTGTTTTACTAAGTGGCATAGTTGAGATTAAAAATGACAAACTTAGGAAATTTAGTATGGTTGCATGCATTTGTATCCAAAATCCCTAAATCAAACAAATGTAACCCATTTAGGCACGTGGAATAAAAGATGCCACAGAAATCATCTTTGAGATGTCAAAAGATGAAAGAAAAGATTTCTACAGGACTATAGCGTGGGGTCTGAACCGGCCTTTGTTTGCAGTGTATAGAAGAGTCCTTCGCATGTACGATGACAGGAACCATGTGGGAAAGTATGAAAATGGAAACCTTTAATACTACATGTTGTGACTAGTGACTAGGAGCAAATACATTTGGAAATGTAGTTTCTTATAAATGGTGGTAAGAGGCATGACCAAGGTCCAGATAAGAGGCCAATCTGAATTTATACTAGAGCCATACCTGTATGAATCCTGCATTCATTGCTTTTGCTATGACACAGAAATTACCTTTAGACAAGGCCTTTTTTGTTAGCTTAGTAACAAAATCCCCCTGCCCAAGGTCCAAATCTTAACCTGTCTCATATTGAATTTTGCTCTGTTGCTAAAGCTTCTAATTGCAGTAGTTTGTAAAATATGAGAATAATTCTTCATAGTTCAGGAGCCAAGATTTTCTACATACCCTTTTCCATACATTAGCATTTTGAAGTCAGATTTTTTACAAAATTAAAGTGGAAAGAAGTAACTTTGTGAACAAAAGCAGGCATAGAATTTGAAAATATACATTGTTCAAAGTGACATATTGTCCAGAAAAAGTACAAGAAATATATACTTGTTAAAATATTCCTACTTGCTACATGGAAATTTTAGAAGTTATTTGCATGAATATTGTTCAGGTCTCGAACTCTAGGCACATTTGCCAGTCTGGCTTATGCTACTTTTTCTCCAGGTACTCAACTCCATAAAGTGAGCACATTTTAAAAACTAAATGTATATGCAACAAAGGAAATTATGTTTCCATGGCAGTTGAGGAAGAAGAATAAAGGATGGTGTGCACTTTGATTGACTTGATATTTTCAAAATGAGTAACTTATTGACAAATAAGCATTTTGAATACAACCCCCACATAGTAGTACTAAATAGTTTCATAACTAGTTACTAAGAGACGACCTTCAAATTAGAGCAAAAGCATATCAAATGTCCAAATGTGAAGAAATTGGCCGGAGTTTTTCTTTTTGGGGGCAGTGATGGAATTTGGTACTAGAGATTTTCTGTCGCCCTTCCCACATTAGGGAATGGTTATGGTTTCAGAAAGTCTAAATTTTCTTAAAAATTAAGGTGAGGAAAAATTGTGGGTAAAAGCCTTGGTTTTAAGTTAGAAAAGCATTTTAGACAAAGAATTTCCTGAAGAATGTCAAACATATGGTATCCTACACCAAACCTAAAAGTTTGTGACTTAAAATAAGAAAGCATTGTATTTTTACTGGCACCTTTAAAAAAGGAGACATGCTTATTCCCTGACCATGTCCAGTCAAAGCAAATATTTTATTGTAGAGTTAAAAAAAAAAAAAAGGAAAGGAAAAAGTAACATTCACATTCATTTTTTAGTTTTCCTACTCACTGACTCCTTTAAAAGTTTTGATCATGTTAACAAAAGTAGATTTGTGTCTTAATTATAATTATGTTTTTATATTTAAATCCAAACATTTTTATTGTTTGTAAATTGTTTTCTTATATGAGATTGATTTTTATTAAGGTTTTTAGCTTTGTATTATTTCACACTAACTGATTCTCTGAATTTCTCTCTTGGCGTTCTCCAGGTATACTCCTGAAGAAATTGAAAAACTTAAGGAGTAAGTTTTTTTTTTTCCAATTAATAAAGTCTGATACACTTTTTGTATCTTCTGTTTTGAAGAGCTTTTGCTTTGAACATTTTAAGAGATTTTTGGAGTGCTGTGATTCCTAATTTACTGGTCCTGGAAGGGAATTTAAGAATTGAAAATCGTATTTTGCTAATTGTCAAAGCAGTGACTGAAAATGATATTAAATTGTTCTAAAGAATTTTATAGCTTTCAAAACCCAAATACCATTCTTAGTTGATCCTCACAACAGCCTACTAAGGTTGTTACAGTAGGTATTGAGAAAACTAAAATTTAAGGAAGTCAGGTGATTTGTCCTTGGCTAATAATGACAGAAGCAGGACTAGATAGAATTCCAGTCTTTTCAGTCCTAGTCATTTTCTTCCTTAATCTCATTTTTTGTTTCTTTAGTAGTAGATCAACTTTTGACTCCAGTGCCTACATCACTGTACTTCCCCAAAAGTAGATATACAGATAAAAAACCAGTCACCAGCATGACTTCTGGAGATAACAGTATTGAGATGAAAGCCAAATTTATGCCTTGTGATTTAATGTGTAATGATGGCATAGCAAACATTACTAATGTGTGTGCTATTTCCTAGCAAAAAACCATTTTGGTTACCCTCAAGTCACTCAAGGCATAGTGTAACCTTGTGTGTTCAGGCAACATCTTATAGAGTAAGCGGGAAGGAACCTTGGAGATTAATCATCTAGTCCTCCTCCCTCTTAACTTGAGGCTTGATTAGTAATAGCGACTTGCTTAATTAGGTTCATAGAGCTAGTGAAGAGTAGAACCAAGATTCTTGTCTACCCAGGAATTCTGAGTTGCAGTCCAATTCCCTTTCCACTAAAATGTCTTGGTGGAGCAGTGGTCTTATAACATTAGAAGAAGTAAGAAATATCTGAGGATAAATTCTGTTATAAAATAGTGGGACAGAAGGATAGGAAATCAGAGTACAAGTGGAAAAAGATCAAATGAAGACTACTAAAGTAAGAAAATTGTCTGGAGATAACCTGGGAGATCGTATCAATATAGTAGTTGTGGGCTAAGGGGAAATTTTGGTCTTTTTTGAAGACATATCCAAGTTACTTATTTCTTCTCTGACCCAGGGAAAAGGCAATTGCTGCCTGTTTTTTCACCCACAGACAACTGTGGACCCCCAAAAAAAGGCCACACTTTCAAACTTTGGCTCTCAAAGTATTGCTGTCCACAACTTCCAAACCAGTCATATGGGAAGAAGAAGAATGAAGAATAAATGATGAAATAAAAAGGGAGAAAACAATTGAACCAAATGCTGATCGGCAGACTCTTGTTTTAGGCTCCGGATAAAGCACGGCAATGACTGGGCAACAATAGGGGCGGCACTTGGAAGAAGCGCATCCTCCGTCAAAGATCGATGCCGGCTGATGAAGGATACCTGCAATACAGGTACTGTTTCAGTGCTCAAATACTGCTTGCAATGTGTGAATTTTAAACCTTGGGTGATCCTCTATGTAGAAATAAGTCACAGATCCATTCTATGGAGATGTCTCTCCATCCCCCTTCAGGATCAAGCTCAAAGGCTAATCTCCTTCGCCTACAGCCATTGCATTTTTGATTTCTTTAGATTTTTTCTTGCTGATCGCTTTATATAGGTTTTTTTTTTCCTGTATAAGTTAAAATCATTTAGAACAGTGTAGAATTTCCTCGTTTTCAAAAGGACTTGGACCAGTGTGGCAGGGAATCCATTTTGCATTTGAGGCAACTTTGATGTATTTCCTGCTGGGAAACTTCTTTTATCTAATAAGTGATTTCCAATTCATACTTGGTTTTTGTTTCAAATAAGTCATTATCCCTTACCAGGTTGGGATGGGAATGGAGGACAATACATTTATTAGTCTTGTCTCTCCCCTTCGCTTAGCCTTGTCCTCTTTCCTTGTCCTTCATTCTTACTTCATTCTTCCTTCTACCAGTTTTACATATTTTCTGAGCTACAGATAGGCAACTCCAGCCACAGGCTATATTTTGCCTTTCCCTCCCAATCTGAAACGTGTGAATGAAAATACCTCCACCTCAGGAATACCATTCTCCCACATTTGATTCACCAACCATTTAATAAACTTCATGTGCAGACCACTGTTTCAGGTGAGTTACGGATAAGACATAACACCTGTCTTTATGGAGCTTACTTTCAAGTAGGAAAATATGACATATACATAGATAACAATGGTACAAGACAATAAGGGCATAGGAGAGGTACCTGCAAATATTTATATAAGATTAAAAAGGGAGTACTCATTACCAGTTAGGAGAGATAAAGGATGTCCTTCTGGAGTATGTAGCACTTTGAGTTACATTTTAAAGGACCAATAGGAATTTAACAAGGAGAAAAGGAATAGGATATTTAGGTAGCAGGAATAAGTGAGCAAAATATGAAAGTATGGACAGTGGGAAAACAGGAGACTGTGCAGTGCAGTTGTACTGCAGCTGTGCAGACTCAATTTTGAATAATGAAAATTAGTCTGAATAGGAAAATATGAGAATAAGACTAGAAAGGTGCCTTACGTTCAAATTGTGATGGGCTTTGAATGTCAGGCATAGTAGTTTGAACTACACTGGAAAGCATTAGGGTGCCATGAAAAGATACTGAGTAACATCACCAGCTCTGTGTATAACGAAGATTAGTGTGGCAGGATATAAAGGAGGGAATTAGAAGGAAAAAATAATATGGAATGGGAAAAATTATTAGGAGATTAAAGTAACAGTCCAGCAAGGTAGTAAGAGTGGTGTCAATGAGAAATGAGAGCAAAGGACAGATGGTAAGAGAAATTACAGAAGTGAAATCAAAAGGCACCAGCAACCTCGGGATGAAGGATTTGGGTTGGATAAGATAATCTCAAAGATCCTTTAAAGTTCTGAAATTCTGTGCTTCTGATCTCTTTTGTTAACTAGCCCAGACCAAAAAAAGAGCTGTCCAGCTTTACTGTCATAATTTCAAGTAGGAAACATACAGGCAGAACTTTCTTGGTCTCCTATGGAATATATGGTATCCTAGCAATACTAGAACATGAGGCACAGAGTAGGTCTAAGGTGAAGTCTTACACATGAATACTGTCATACATAGTATAATGACAAACCTGATTACTGAATTTTGTTAGAATCTCAATTTCTAGTCATCCTATTCCAATTTGATTGACCACCTGGAAATCATTGGCCTTAACCAGAGCTGTAGAGAGAGTCTTATCTGTGGCCAGTATTAAAATTTTGCTTTCCTTTCTTAACCCTTCCTGAGTTCATTACGTTCTACACAGGGGTGGGGAACCTGTGGCTTTAAGGTCACATGTGACCTTCTAGGTAATTGGGGCAGCCTTTTGACTGAGTCCAAGTTTTACAGAACAAATTGTTTTATTAAGGGGATTTGTTCTGTGAAGTTTGGATTCACTCAAAAGGCTGTACTTGAGGACCTAGAGGGCCACATGTGGCCTTGAGGTTCCCCACCCCTGTAAAACTTAGAATACATGATTTTAAATTGATGAAAGTTTCTGAGTAGGTTTTGGTATAGGAGCTACATAGAATTGCACGGAGAGTACACCACAAAAAGTAATTGTACATTTTGTCAGCTTTTCTCTCTTTAAATTTAGTTGTTCTACTAATTTTGGTTGCTCTGCCTGGAAATGTTAATGCTTCCTGGTATACTTAACACCTTGGGGCAAATGTTACCATTGATGTAGGTGTATTTGGCAACCCCTAAATGGAATGATTGTCCAGAAACTAAGATGCTAGAAGCATTACTGTACTTCTTTCTATCATTGCATGTATAGTGATGAATCTGTCTCTGCTTTGGAAAAAAAACAAACCAGGAGACAGGTAGTGGTGGTAGCTTAGGTGATTTCCTCCTTTCAGGGAAGTGGACAGAAGAGGAAGAGAAAAGACTGGCAGAGGTGGTTCACGAACTGACAAGCACTGAGCCGGGTGACATCGTCACACAGGGGGTATCCTGGGCAGCTGTAGCTGAACGAGTCGGGACCCGCTCAGAAAAGCAGTGTCGCTCAAAGTGGCTCAACTACCTGAACTGGAAACAGAGTGGGGGGACAGAGTGGACCAAAGAGGACGAAATCAATCTCATCTTGAGGTTTGTATCCTACTACTTACTGTGAATCATAAAGTCTTGATAAGCCATCTTTTTTCTGTTTCCTTGGATGTGTAAAGTTGGAAAATCATTCTTCCCATAGTGACCTGATTCGTTTGAGTTCCTAAGTACTTCATATTGAGCTCTTTTTTGTTTTGTGTTTCTTCCTTTTTAGTGAATTTAGTGCTCGTGCAAGGTACCAGATTGAAGGCCTGGAGACTGAAGTCCTCTCTCTATCCACAGAACAGGTACGGCACAGGCAGCGGCAGTGCAAGCTTTTCCACTGTCCCATTATTGTGCCTCAGCCCTGGCCTGAAGGGGTCATGGTTAGGGGGAAGAGGGTTGTTCAGTCTCCACGCCCTTCAATCCTTGGCTGCTCTTCTGAGGCTGCCAAGAAGGGGGTCCTAGTCTGGAGTTTACCCAGTCATGAAAACTAGACTGAAAAAAATGCCTCTATTTCATATAAGTTGCAGATAGCTTTAAAATATAGAGTAACCTCATTTAGTCAATTCAGCCACCCTGGCCTATATGTGAACTGGATACCTGTAGGGAAAAGGCTTTTGATTATTTGACTAGTCCTATAGATACTAAAGTGTTTTTCTTAATTTAAAGATTTTTTTTTAAACCACTTAGCTTAACCTTAAAACTGAAGGGCTTGAGTGAGCAGTGAATCTTGTAGGCAAGGACAAGAAAAGAACTTAGTGCTATGCTATTAGATATGTTTTCAATATTGAAGTTCAGTTTAATTATGCTATTTAATGACAAAAGATGAACATACTTCATCCTAGCCTCTAAATATATTCATGCTATTTTAAGGAGTGCTTTTTATTTGAGTTTTTTGTTTTTTGTTGTTGTTGTTTTAATAAAGAACTCATTTTATAATGTTTCTATAGTATAAACCACCATCCATTTTTCAGTTGGAAAGACTGAGACCCAGGAAAATAGTTACTTACTCATAGTCATACTATGAACCAGGTATAGAACACAATTAAAATTTGGCTAGTGATAGTGCTCTAAACTCTAAATAACATCTCCTTACCTGCACAGTGAAACATTTAGACACATACAACCTTCTAAGCATTCACACTTAAAATAATTAATTGTAGCTCCGGAACATCTGGCCTGCCTCTGGGATCCTCTCCTCAACAATTTGGCAATAACGTCTTGTTATTGTATCTTAGCTCTCGCATGATCTCCAGTGCCATACTATTTTTGGACAGTCAAAGAAAAAACAAATACGGGTAGGGTTCCTGTTAGTCCCGAAGGGCAGCACCTAACAGACACCCATTTTTGTAACCCATCAGGATAGCAGAGCTTGATGTGGCTGATGAAAATGATATAAACTGGGATCTACTAGCCGAGGGATGGAGCAGTGTCCGTTCACCACAATGGCTCCGAAGCAAATGGTGGACCATCAAAAGGCAGATAGCAAACCACAAGGATGTTTCATTCCCTGGTAATGTATTAATTAGGTGTACCTAGCCTTTCATTCTGTTGTCATAGTGGACATTTATTGGTGTAAATAAGGATCCTGTATGATTATAATGTTCAATACTATGCACAAAATGCTGACCAGTAGGGCTGAAAGTTGAAAGTTTGTCTAACTTTCTGTTGTTGGATGGAAGGGCATCTCATTTCAAAGAAGCGTAATTTTAAATCCTTAGTTGATTTGGTTATGCTGCAAGATTTATTTTATCACTTTTTCCTGAAATATAATGATAACAATGATTTTGTCATGTGCCTAATTAGTCATGTACTCAGGAATGCTTGAGGTCCCTAGAGGTATACAGAACTCCAGTCATTCATCTTGTGTTAGTATTGGGACTTTCAGTTCCAATAAATAATACTTTCCATTTTCTTCTTCAAAAAGGGGTAACATATCTTTGAAATGCTTAAAGCTTCTAAAATCAGAAGTTCATGTTATATGTCTATAAAGTCAAGATGAATTAAATTTTACATATTTAAAAGCCAGTGTTTGTGCAAGGGATTTTTTTTTTCTGAAAAGATTTAAATCAGTTTTTAGTCAGCAGTATCACTTCTGGTAATCTGAGGAAGCTTGCTGTTTACAGGAGTCCTAATTTTACTCTTTTTTACAGAGAGTATATTCATTTTTTAGAACATTTTTAAAAGAATTTTCACACCTTAATTTTTCATGTGTAAATTCCAGGTTTTCATATGGAATTATGATTAAAGTCAGGTATACCAATATGCTCAACTTTCTATGCCCCCTCCCCATGACATTCCCCATTTTTTTCCCCCATTCACAAACTGACCTGTTAGACTCAGATTTTCATTGGTAAATTGAACTGCAGTCTGTTCATTTTGAATGCTGATTAAAGTTATTGCCCCCTTTTTAACATCTTACCATTTTCCAAAAGTCAAACAAAGAAAAGAAATAATAAATGGTTCATTGGTAAAGATTTAAGTGTAACTTAATGCAAAATAGTGAATGACTATTATGTAACATGAAACTAAGCAAAATGTGTAGTATTAGCAGAAGAGAGGAAAGAGAATCAAGGCAGCTTGTCATAAATAGCAGAAGAAGCAGAGTCTACGCAAGTAGCCTTTTGTACAAGCCCTTAGTGACTGCAGTTCTGTGATTGGTGAATGCAGAGAATTTGCCATCTCCTTTCTCTAGCTGCCATGAGGGGATGTGTTAAGCCAAAAGCTGAGCCCTGATGTTGCTCCTCAGTAGTCAGATATCCTAAAGTCCTTGTACGTAACCATGCTTAATTTATTAATTTCATAATAAAAATATTGTTAAAGATGTATAATGCCCTTCTCAACGAATACCCCCTAAAAAAGGATCATTTTACCAGTAGCTAAATGCCCCGCACAGACTTTGTTCATATATTTCACAATATCTATTTTTAATGTTTAAGTATTAAATGATAAAGGCAACATGGGTATTTCATTAATAAAAATTTGCTTAGTTAAGAAACATGTCAGCAAATGTGGTTTTTCAAATGTTTCATTATTGTATGTGTACTATTTGACATCCAGTGAACAAACTATTTATTCCAAATACTTTCCCTCCTCACCTCATCCCTTCCTCCCACCTCCCTTGCTACTTAGATGGTGATGTCGGCGAATCAATGTTCTTTTTGTCTACCCATCTCCCTTCAGTCTTGATAAAAGGTCTTAAACAGTTGCACGAGAACCAAAAAAACAACCCAACACTTTCGGAGAACAAATCAGGCCCCGGAGTTCCAAACACTAATGCCAATTCAGGCGTTCAGCATGTTCAGATCCGAGTTGCCCGCTTGGAGGAGAATACGGGCATCTCTCCAAGTCCCATGACAGCTTTGCAGATTCCTGTCCAGATCACCCATGTTTGTAAGTGCATGCACTTTGTGATTTAATAGTACTATTAATAATAATAGCTGACATAGGGCCCTGAGGTCTGTAAAGACCTTTATATGCATTATCCCATTTGATCTTCATGTCAACTCAGAGAGGTAGGTACTGGTAGTAGATATTTGTATCCCCATTTTACGGATGAGGAAACTGGGGCTTAGAGAAGTTAAGTGAGTCCCCCATGGTCCCACAACTAGGAATTGTTGGGGCAGGATTCAGGCCTATTTCTCTCCAGACTCTAGCTGGGTCCAGCACTCTATGCTACCTTTTGAGTTATCAAAATCTAAATGAGTCAAGAAATGACTCTGAGTACTTTGGGAAATTTATAGAGAGTCATTGTCAGAAGTCTCATCATTTAAAGGCATTAAGGTTTGGTTTTGTTTTTTTAAGTCAGTTATTTAGTATGTAAATGCTCAAAATGATCTAGACACTAGAAAGGTTTTCTTATGACAGGAAATAAGGAATTTTAATAGCGATCAGCCAGTGAGCATTTATTCCACGTCTGCTGTATGGTAGACACTGTGCTAGACCTTGGTGATACAAATGGGGACGGTTTAGGAAGGAAAATAATGAATTTTCTTCCGGACATGTTGCATTATAATGTCAAATGGGATATCCCCAAGATGATGTCAAACTGGAAGCTGGAGATGCAGGACGGAAGCTCAGGAGAAAGGTGAGAGTTAGTAACATAGACTTGAGAAGTGTTTGCATAAAAATGGTGAATAAATGTATGGGAGCTGATGTGATGTGATGGAGACTAGGATGAAGTATGTACATCTGTTATCATTAAATAGCATAATTAGACTGAACTTCAATATTGAAAACATATCTAATAGCATAGCATTAAGTTCTTCAATGTCTTGTCCTTGTCTACAAGATTCATTGCTCATTGATGTCCAAAGATCATTGGTGACTTTGGAGAGAGCAATTTCAATCAGGTGGTGAGAATGTCAGTTAGTTTGCAGGAGTTTAAGAAACAGGATGTAAGAAAATGGAGACATCAAGTATAGGTTAGCTTTTCTAGGAGGTTGGCTTTGAAAGGGAAGAGAAATATATAAGTATATATACGTATGTAATATATAAGTATATATATGAAATATATAAACATAGAAGTGTAAGTTTTAAGGATGGGGGAGGTTTGTAGGCAGCACAGAAGGAGCCAGCAGATAAACAGAAGTTGAAAATTAGGGAGAGAGAGGAGATAATTGTAAGTTTCTGGAGGAGATGGGAAGGGCTGTAATTAATGGTACAAGAAGAGATGTCATTGACAAGAAGGGCCACTGTATCCCCTGAAACTGGGGTAAAGGACAAGGGCCGAGGTGGGTAACACTAGGATATGAAGTGTGGAATTGGGGAGGAGAGGGAGCTTCCCATGGATGGCCCCTTTTTTCAGTGAAGCATGAGGCAAGGTCTCATACCACTTGCCCTCGTAACAGACACTTTCCTGAAGCCCAAATATGCATTCTGTGTAACTGCAGACTTAGTTTAGTTAATAAATGACTTTGTGCAGATTAAATCTGGCAAGGAAGTGCAGTTAGTGTTACTATTCCTTTGGGTAGAAGCTCAACAAAAATCCACAAATTGTGGTAGATTGGAAGAGGGGAGTAAACATTTTCCTCCAGAGATAACTTGAGAGCATTCTTTTAAGCCAAGGAACCAGTTTTTATGCTTTTATCTGTTAGTGTTTCATGGTCCTTAGAGGTCCGTAGCCTCTTTTGTAGACTGTGTTCAGTGAAGTGCAAAAGAGGAATGGGCTTCTTAGGGAGGGACTTAGATTCTCCCTCCCCGGGAGGGCTTCAAGTGAAGTCTCTTCATGAGCTCTTCTTAGGAATGTCCTCGAGGGAATTCCTTTTCAGGAATTAGGTGGCCTGTGGACTTCTAAGGTCCTTTCGTACTCTGATTCTTTCAAACATATGGGAACTGAGCAATACTTGTACAGATGGGAATTTTTTTGTCAAGACCTAGGGTATGCTGTGCTTTCATGTCTTTCTTTCTGTCATTAGGACATGCTTTTTTTTTTTAAAGAAGAAGAAAATGGGATCCTAAAATTCAGTTCTTCTTATGTGTTGCTGGTGTTTTTTTAAATATTAAATAAAAAGCAGAATGCTAAGTTCTAACTTAGGAGATTTAGGTTCTCTTTCTTGTTCTATCACTAACTAGTTGTAACATTGGACAAGTCACTTAATTTCTCTGTACTTCAATTTCCATATTTGTTCAGTGGAAATAATACTACCTGCCCTATTTACCTCATAGGTCAGTGAAAATAAAATGAAATTATATTTTTGAAAGTACTTGGAAAAATGTTTATACAGATGCAGAATGGTGGGTTTTGGAGTCATCTTTGTCCCTGGTAGTATCCCCACTACTTGCTTGTGACTTTGTGTAATTGGGAACCAAAGAATTTCTTTAGTACAATTCATCAAATATTTGTTGAGCGCTTGTCCTACACAAACACCATACAAGGCAATGCATGGAACCAAAAGACATTTAAGGCCCAGTTCCTGCCCTCAAGGACCTTACAGTTTATAATTTTTTTCCATGTTCTCCCATATAGCCTTTCCAGAGGATCTGCTCAGAGTGCTGGAGGCCTTCTTCTAGACCTGCTAACATTCTCTGAGTTGGATTTGAGCTGCCCTGTTATTTCCTACTTTGATTACATGACTATTGTACTTGCTTTTCCAATCATGCATTTCCTAGATGTATGCCCCCTCTTACATATAGGTAGGTCATTATTAGAAATATGCTTCAACGTACTTACACCCATCTTTTATCTCTCTGTTGCCCTTTGGGTAAGTAACCTCAAACTTTGATTCTTTGACGTTAGTTGTGTTCTAAGGTTTTTAACAATATGGCATGACGCGAGAACATTGGCATTAAAAAGATGGGAGTGGGGGCAGCTAGGGGGTGCAGTGGATAGGGCACCGGCCTTTGAGTCTGGAGGACCTGAGTTCAAATCCAACCTCAGATGAAACACTTGACACACGTACTAGCTGTGTGACCCAATTGCCTAAAAATTAAAAAAAAAATTTTAAAAAGATGGGAGTGGTTTGCGATTATTGAAAGGGTTGCAACAGTTTCTGTGCAGTGAAATGCAATCTAACCCATTCTTTTCCTGTTCTTCAATTCTGGGGCCTGTTCTTTATCAGTCAGCTGGAGTTATCCAAGATAAATGGATCTTGGATTGGGACAGTTAGATGGTACAGTGGTAAACACCGGGCCTGGAGGCAGGAAAACCTGAGTTTAAATCCTGCCAAAGACACTTAACTAGCTATGTAAACCCTGGGCAAGTCACTTAACCTCTGTTTGCCTTGATTTCCTCATCTGTAAAATGGGGGGTCATAATAGCACCTGCCTCACAGGGTTGTTGTGAGGATCAAAAGAGATAATAATTATAAAGCACTTAGTGCAGCGCCTGGCACATAGTATGTTAGCTACCAAGTGTTAGCTACTATTATTGTTACTGTGTTTTTATGGACTGATGCAGTGGGCTGCCCATCCAACTGCTTGTCTTAGATTGGGCAATAGATATTTTTTTATCCATTTGCTTTTTCCTGTGTAAACTGTTATGCTGGCTTTTTTTGAGAGTTTCTGGATATCTTTGAAGTACCCCTATGAGGTTGATATAATCAACACGATATAATCTGAAGGATCTCACCATCTCTAGGGAATCACTCTTCCATTTGGATCCTATGCATAACATTTCCTGTGACACTGGAAAATACCTTTGGTGTAGTCATTATGTCTCTCTTTTTTAATGCCTCGTTTGTCATAAGAATCAGAGGCCCTTAAACAGTTATCCCTGTGATTTTGTTTATCAAAATACTATATGATCTCATAATATATGCATAAGAAGCTGCTTGTTAGAGGAAGGCTTTTAAAGTTGTCATTTCCTCTGTTGGTCATTCAACAAGCATTTATTAAGTACCAGCTATATATGCCCAGCACTGTGCTACACAATGAGGATTCAGAGCCAAAAATAAAACAGTCCCTACCCTCAAGAATCTTACATTCTGGGGCAGCTAGATGGCACAGTGGATAGAGCACCGACCCTGGAGTCAGGAGGACCTGAGTTCAAATCTGGCCTTAGACACATAACACTCACTAGCTGTGTGACTCTGGACAAGTCACTTAACCCCAAAAGAATTTTACATTCTATTCAAAGAGACAACACATGTAAGTATATATATGCACAAAATAAATAGGAGATAAGTTTGGGAGAAGAAGCATTCACAGCAGCAAGGGAGTCAGGATTCCTAGGAGGTGGCATTTCAGCTAAGCTTTAAAGGAAACTAGGGATTTCTAAGAGGCAGAGATGACAGGGAATGCGGAATGTTCTTTTGTAATCAACACACAGTGAGCACAGCAGGTTCTTGGGCTCCTTTCCATCAATTTTGTGTCTTATTAAGTTGTGATCTGATGTAGAAAATTGTTCGCAGAAGCCTGACTGTTCCTTTCTTAAGGATACACTTAGTTAAATATACAAATCATTCTACTAAAGATGAGAAAGTTGGAATGTGGGTTGGGTAGTTATTGATATTTTTTCTATCTGCTTTTTTATGTAGTAATAAAATAACAATGCCTTTTATTTGCAGATTTGTTTTATTTTTACAAAGCATTTTTGCTTCTCTTATCCTCATGATAGAACCATGAGGTAGGTGAAGCGATTGGTGTTCATCCTTTTTGACAAATGAGGGCCTGAAGCACAGAGTGACCTATGGTCAGGGGCCTTGTCATCAGCCAGCGTGCTAATAATCATGGCAGGCGGGGTAACAACCTATGCTACGGACTCCACCTTTTCATGTGCATAAGCACTTAATTCTCCATGTCAACCAATGTCAACCAGTCAATAAGAATTGATTAAGGGACAGCTAGGTGGCACAGTAGATAGAGCACTGGCCCTGGTGTCAGGAGGACCTGAGTTGAAATCTGGCCTCAGACACATAATACTTCCTAGCTGTGTGACTCTGGGCAGGTTACTTAATCCCAATTGCCTCACAAAAAAAAGAAAAAAGGATTGATTAAGCACTTAAACCATATGCCAGGTACTGGGGCTACAGTGACCAAAAAGAAACTCCTGCCTGCAGGGAGCTTACATTCTCTTAGAGGAGACAATATGTATATAATATATACAAAGTGTATATACAAAATAAATTCAAAGTAATTTGGTGGGTGGAGAACTGGTGACTGGGGAGATGAAGAGGGTGCTTATGTAGGAGGTGATGCTTGAGCTTCATGTTAAAATGAGAATATGCTAATCACATCATATCTTCATAAAGTTGAACCTGTTAGTATCATTAAGGGGTGGGAGAGGCAAACGTGTGTCCAACAGAATACGTTAGAGGTTTTTAGCCTTATACATGTTAATCTTGGGAGAGTCTGTGGCATAATGGAAAGAGAGCCAGCCTGGGAGCCAGGAAGACCTGGGTTCCAGTGTCACCTCTGGTATACTGGCTGTATAGTTGTAGACAAGTCACTTCTGCTAGTGATGCTCTAGGCAACTGTCTGAGACTCAGAACATTCCGAGCTCATATTGGTCTGATCAGCCAGTTGGACACACTGAAATTAGACTCTAGCACAGTGATGTCATTTTGGTCCTCTACAAGAACAAAGGACAGCAACCAACCAGGCGACTCTGAGATTACAAAGTAGAGAAAAGATGCCAGCCTGCTCTGGTAGGAAGAGTTTCTTCACCCACGAGTTCTCTGTACCCGTGAAATCACACATCCTGCTGTCAATCCCAAGGCAATTGTGAATTGCTGCTACTTGCTTCTGCCTGCCCATCAGTAGAAACAGCAGGAAATATTTCTCTCCCTAGCTCCTGGCTTTTTGCCCTAACCCTAGCTGGAAATATGAAACAACTAGAACAGCTGCTGCCCAGAAAAACTGAGGGTTAATTTTGGTGGCAAGTAGGATGCTGGAAGACCAGAATGACACTGAAGAAGACATCAGGGATTTTTATAAATACTACCCAAACACCGTGTGTCTCAGTAGCAGAGTTTTTTGGTTGTAAAATATCATACTAAATATTTTGTAACCTTGGTAAAAGCAGGAGAAGTTCATAATATCTCCTCTAAATACAAACTTTATCTTTTTTACATTTTCTAGTACTACTCAAAATGTTTATGTGTAGTTCTTCTCAAGAGGAGTCAGAGATACAATCAATAGCTTAGTTTGATAAGAGAAGCATTTAAGATTGCAAATATGTATAGTGAGTCCTTGCCTGAGGCCCTACATCTCCATTGTGTTGGATAGAGCTGCTGGAAATAATTGATATCCTTCAAGATTTCACCTTTTCCTAATTCCTCTTATTGCTTACCTTCCCTCTGCTATCCCCACTTCATCCTGTTTATATCTTGCTTATGCTTAGTGGTTTGCATGTTATTTTTCTATTTGACTGAACTTCTTGGGGAGTGGGACTGTCTTTTTGCCTTTCTTTGTATCCTCAGCCCTTTACACAGTGTCTGGCACGTGGTAGGTACTAAGATAAATACATGTTGACTGACTACAAACTTTCATTTAACTATACCTTGAGATTATTTGACTGGGGTTGGTAATAAAGTTTGATTTTTAAGACTACATAAATCATTTAACCTGAGTATATTTCTCTTATATATGTGTATGCATCATTCATATGTACACATATAAATTTTTTCTTTTGTTTTATATAAATGTACTTATATTAAGTGATTTATGTAGTTTATATAAAAGATAGATAGATAGATAGATAGATCCTATTCCTCTCAGAGTTCTGTGGCCTGACCCATAGTTCTAGTAAAGATAAAATATTGTAGACTTAACCCGACAGGAAACAATATATAGAAAATCCATTTCAAACCAGTTTTTAATTGCATCTGAATCTGGACTACATGTAGCCCCCTTCTGAAATTAAACCATATCTTTTGTGGATTTTGCAATGCCTAGATAATGGTATTGATTATGTAATCATTCTTAATCAACAGAGAATGGAATCATCCTGTCACTTTTAGGATACCTTAACACTCTTCCATAGTTACCTGTTTACCTTTACCTTAAGAAATACTGGAACATTGTACCAGCTGGCTAACTCAGTTGTAAAAACTAGGGATGTTTAATATAGAGAAGAAAAGATTGGCCCTGGGGCAGAGCAGGGTAGCCAGAATCTGATAGCTATCTTAAGTATATGAAAGACTCTCATGTAAAGAACGTGTTAGATTTATTCTGCTTTGCTCCAGAAGGTAAAATGAGGATCGAGATGGAAATTGCAGAGGGCCAGATTCAGCGTTGATGAGCAGCACAACTAGTGGCACAATGGATAGAGTTTTGAGCTTTCAATCCAGAAACCTGGAGCTTTGAATCATGTCTCGTATATTTACTGTGATGTCACTGAACCTTTCTGAGCCTTGGTTTCGTCATCTATAAAATGGGGTAGTAGTCCAAGCTACTTCACAGGGTTGCTGTGAAGATCAGACAAGATAAGCACTTGATAAATGCTTGTTAAATGATGTAAAGGACTTTACAAATCTTAAAATGTTATATAAATGTTTATCATTGTTACAATCATAAGGATACACTTCAAAACAGAGCTCTCCAAACTTGGACGAGGTTGCCTTAGGAAGCAGTAGGTTGTCTCTCTCCCATCCCTGTCCTCATCCGTCCTTCCCCCAGTGGAGATCTTTAAGTAAATCCTTGGTGACCATTTGTATTTAGTATGTTTTAAAAAGAAATTCTCGTTCAGATACACATTAAACAAGTTGAGTTCTGAGGTTTTTCCAATTCTGAGATTCTGTAAAATCCATCTATTAGATTTCTTCTATCTCCACTACAGAAGTCAATGGTATTTCACCCTGTGTACCTCTTCATTGAATAATCCTAGTACTTAACTATCTACATGTGAATTTTTCCCCCTTTTTGCTTTTATCATAGCTTCAACAGAATCCCCTGCTGCTACTGTCGACTCTGAGACCATAACACTAAACAGTGGTACACTACAGACATTTGAGATTCTTCCAGTAAGTAATATCTGTGCTTTATCCTTGTTTTGATAACACCCTATTAAAAATAAAATGTACTGTGACTCATTAAATTACTCTTCATTGGGAAATTCAAAGCATTGACTAATAAGAATAATAAAGTGGTAGCAAATAAAATACCTCTCTTTGCTTCTTGGCAATAAAGGAGAACACTAGAATCAGAGTATGCTAGAACTGGAAGGGCTCAAGTTGAATACCTTCATTTTAAAGAGAAGGAAGCTAAGAACCCAAAGTCACAGCTAGTTACTGGGGGCAGGGTAGAGACCCCAGACCTAGTTTTTTCTACCGTCTGGTACAGCACAGTAAGAATAAGTTGGTACAACTAGAACATTAATGTGCTTTCAGGAGTGTGTGTGCAAAGTACCTTGACTACTCTAAAAGAAACTTTTAAAAGTAAGGGGGGCAGGGGCTGCACTTTCTCTTGTGTTTCTTCTTGGGTTTTTTCCTCAAGGATGCTTCTTTTTGTCATGTCCCCCTAGGTAAATAATTGTTATTTCATTATGTTGCGTTGCATGTTTATTATTAAGTGTAGAAAGCACTAGATTTGGAGACCTGGGTTCTAGTCCCAGTTCTGTTATTATAATTAACTGTATGAACTTGGACAAAAGATGGTAGCCTCTCTGGAACTGTCACTACATTTATGTAGAGTCCTTGGAAATATGCCTTCCTTTATTTGTCGCCCTCTCAGAAATTACAGTTTTTTTAAACTTTGTCTTTCGTTTTGCCAGCCATTTATCCATTTTTCTTTACAATATCAGCAGTCCATTTCATCAGCTCACATGAGCAAATAAATACTTTTCTACAGAAGCTGGAATCAAGTGTGACAGTGTAAGAGGACACAGGCCAATTTAGGATAGCATACCTGTGGTCTTGCTAAATTGATTTTTTATAGATGAGCCAGGGAGTATTACTCACTTCATCTCAGTATGTAGTTCTGGTCTAATACAAAATATTCAGATAGGAATTTGTCATTGATTTATTAATATTTCTTTAAGTAAAAGATGTACCAAAAAAAATATGTACCATGCTTTTTATCATCTGAAAATTTATTAGTTGTGATGAAGGCAGGAGAATTATCTATGACAAGCACTATCAAGTGATGAATATCACCACCCAGAAGATGATTCCACACAATTTTTCTTTCCCAGTATCTACCTGTTGCCCCATTTATGGATAAATGAGTAAGGAACTGGTGGGAAGGTAACATTTTATTTAATAAGGTACTGCTTTGTCTATGTCTTATACCTTATATTTGAAAGAAAGTATTAATTTATGTTACTTAATAGTTAACAGTGCCCTCTCTTATCTGTATGTCAAGCATCATAATTCAGGGGAAATCATTCAATTTGATACCAGAAGTAGAACTCTCAAAACTTTTGTATCCCATGTTAGCCTCTGTACTGCAGCCATTACAGAAAACCCTATATACAAATGTAAAGAAGGGAAATTTTTAGGTGCACAAAAATAATTTTTTTTAATCCCTTTGTTGTGAAATCAAAATAGATAGGACCTTGTTATTTCAGGAGGGAGGCAGTACAATTCCTTGGACAAAGCAACTATCTATATACCTCATTTTTCTCACCAATAAAACTGGTGAGATTTCTGCTAAGAGAAATTAATGTCCTCAAGGTGGTATGCCCCCTCCTTTTAAAACGCTTATACTAAAAAAACTTTGATCTAGGCTTTTGTACTGCTAAACCAAGGAACAGATTTATGTAACACAGGTCATGTCATTATGAGATGATTGAAGATATGCAGATTTCAGTGACTCAGTATTGATAGCACAGCCCCAATATTACTGTGCCCCAGTAGCAATGGAAGAGAAAAGTCAATCAACAAGACTCAATCCAAGGAGATGGGAGTATACTGCACCTAAGAGACAGATATAGGAAAGTAGCTAAACCATTATGCCAGCATGAGTAATGCCATTTGTCAGTTAAGTAAGAATACTGGGACCGTTCATCTTTACTCTTGATATATCTTTTGGAAGGAATATGGCTGTGTTCTTGGTAAACTACTTTTTTTTCAGTCCTGGATAATTTTCAAAGCTGAGTTAATCAGTAATTGGACAATTCTTTGTTTATTTGTATTTTTCTTCTTCCTTTAGTCTTTCCATTTACAGCCCACTGGAACTCCAGGCACCTACTTGCTCCAGACAAGCTCAAGCCAAGGCCTTCCTTTAACACTGACTGCCAGTCCCACTGTGACTTTGACAACCACTGCTGCACCTGCTTCACCAGAGCAGATCATTGTACATGCCTTATCTGTATGTAGTACTCATAAAACGCTTAAGAAGGCAGACACCTTGAGTTTTCAGATTTATTTAGAAAGAATGGAACTCATTGAGTTCTACGAAAGGTCAGCAGATAGTTTACATCTTATAAACAGGTTGCATTCCAAAAGCTTGCTCCAAAATAAGCTGTTTGGAATTCAAGATCATTTCCCATTGAAATACTTATACATTATACTAATAGATTACCAAGTCTATTTAACCCATAATAGAGTTCCGCTAAAATATTAATATAGTACCAAAGAAGAGTGTAATCTCAGACTTAAGGTAGAAATGAATCCCTGCAGGCCTCATTAACTTAGAAAACCACAAATTAACATTATCTGTGTTTTATTGTATTTTTATTTATTTTGTTAAATATTTCCTGATTACATGTTAGCCTGGTTCCAGCCACATTGCAGAGTATTGAGGGCCATATGTGGCCCACAAGACTTGAGTCTGACACTTCTATCATAGAACGTGCTTCAGTAAATCCCAGGGTCTAACACTACGAGTACTCTCTCTGCTGGTGCAGATCACAATCCTACACAGTTCTTGTCCACGTCCTTACATAAATCTTCCACACAAGATCTACCCAGTGTCCCAAAGACCTTCCCCTCAATCATTGAATATTTCATGATATCAGTACCACATGTGAGTTATCTTATGCTTTGCTTTCACTGAAGGTCATACTGTTTCTGATTAGACATCTTTTACAGCTAGAATGGTATACATGTCATCTTAGTGTCTGCCTTCTTATACAGTCATCTTTAATAACATTGTTTTGTGGGAAAATGCATTTATTTCAACAAATTAAACCTCATAGATGTCTTAAGTATAAGGCAGCTATATGCTAAATATGTGAAAAGTTAAATAACAATAAAGTATCTAAATAACAGATAATATATTATCAGATTTTACACAATTAATTGCCAATTCAGAGGAGGAAGAAATCACTGAGCACTAGTGATCAGAGAAGGTTCATGGAAGAAGGGTTTTAGTTGGCTCTTCAAGCTTGAATAGTGTTTGGATGGGTGAAGAAAAGGAAGTATTTCAGATACAACAATGTAAAGTATATTCCAGGAACAGTAAATAAATCAGTGTGGCTGGACCAGAGAGTTTTTTAGGCAAGTAATGGAAAGTAATATTTAAAAAACAAAACAAAACAGAATATTATCAAATTGTAAAAGACCTTGAACATCAGACCTAAAGAGTTTAGACTTATTAAAATGTGAGCCATTAGAGGGTGGTTTTTTTTGTTTGTTTTTTTGTTTTGTTTAGCAAGGGGGTGACATAAAGTGATTTTTTCAGGAAGATTAATAGGGCATTGGTGTGCAGAATGGAAGAAGAGAATTGAAGCAAGGAAGAAGTATAGTATGATGTGAAAAGGGCTTGAGCCAAGGCTGTGATTGTGGGAAGAAAAGAGGAAGGAACATGGGAGAAGTCCTGTGAAGGAAGAAACTCTTAGGATCTCATGACCATTTGGAGATGATGAAGCCAGGAGGATAGGGGTAGAGTAAAAGATGATTCCAAGGTTTTGGAACTGCGAGGCTGGTGGTGCCATTGACCACAATAGAGAGGAGAGGGGCCGAAGATTATGAGTTCAATATTAGATATTTTGAGTTTGAGTTAGTTGTAGGATATTTCAAATAGAAATATTGAGCAGCTAGTTGGACATATAGTATTGGTGCTCCTAAGGAACATAAGGGCTTGATATACAGATTAGAGAGTCATTTTCATCCAAGTTGAATCTCTAAAAATAAAAAGCTGGAGAAAGGGTATGAGAAGAGCAGAAAACGATTTTTGTTTCAACTAGAAGCACCAGGAACACATCCCATAATCATCTAAGGAGAGGCACCTCCCTTCAGTGGGCACTTAAGAGTGCCACACCAATTGTAAGGACTCAGACTTGGGGTGGGGGGGAGGTGTTGAGGATGGCCAGTGGGAGGAAAACCAAAGGGACAAGCATTTGGAGTGCCTCGCTTCCCTCAGGCGGTACATTTTGGATGCCCAAGTATCTATGGTGCATCAAATATGGATCATTGATATATCATTCATATAAGTAAAGGACTACCTGTAGATCCTGTAGATGAAGTTTGTTTACTCTAGCATAGAGTTCAGTAGTTATTCATATTTTGTTCCTGACTTTTGGTTTATTTTTTTAATAGCCAGAACATTTGCTGAACACAAATGACAATGTCACTGTACAATGTCACACGCCAAGTGTCATCATTCGGACAGTTGCCACTGAGGATATCACTTCTTCCATATCCCAGGCAGAACTCACAGTGGATACTGACCTTCGATCAGATGATTTGACTGACCCTCCAGATACACTCGAAGCAGACACTTTTTCAGATGAAATCCATCAGCCTAAACTGACCAATGAAAGATCATCGTTCAGTGATGCTTGTGACTCCAAGTTTAGTGACCAGAATAGCGCTGAACTAATAGATAGTATGATGGTCAGAACAGAAGAAGAAATCTCCGTCACAGGCCTCAAGCAAGAAGAGGATTCTCCATCTGCTTTAGCCAGTGCTTATGTTACTGAGGTGAGAAAGCTCTTAAGAGTAAAAGTACCTACACTAGGTACTTGTCGGATACCCCAAAGTGGCATACTTTTGGGTGGAGATAACTAGAAGTAATTGCTACCCTAAAAGCATTTGTTAAATGATAACTTTCTTCATGAAAATATTAAAATTTCCCAGCCTGGGAAATTGCTGGTTTTAATTTTAAACTATTATTTTCTTAATCCTGTGTCTCTCCTAATCCTTTCTAGTTTCACAGATGGTGACAAGTCGAATATGATTTGGACTTTTGCTCCCTAAATTGATGATAATAATAACTAGCGTTTATATAGTGCCTCCTATGTTCCAGGCATTGTGCTAAGCACTTTTCAGATATTATTACATTTGATCCTCACAACAACCCCACGGTAGGTGCTATTATGATCCTAATTTTACAGATGAAGAAACTGAGGCAAACAAGTTAAGTGACTTTCCCAAGGGCATACAACTCGGAAGTGTCTATGGCTAGATTTGAACTCACGTCTCCCTGACTCCAGTCCAGTACTGTGTCTATTTCACCACCTAGCTACCTAAGCATATGAGAATATCATATAGATCTTTTAGGTAGTTGTGTTCCTGTTGTATGTTATAGCTACTACAGGTTTTCTTCAACCAGTGGTAATGTGACATAAATAACATTAGGAGAGAAGAATTTAGTCTGAATGACTTGAAAGCAAGCCTTTGATTTTTACATTTGCTAAAAAGAAAAAAAATATCTGCTTGTGTATGAAGCTATTAAACAGGGGATGTTAAGTCAGCTGTCTTACGAAACAGAGGCAGCTTGCTTTTTAAAAGATGTCTTTCCTTCTTTTCTGAAATAGCCCTGGAGCCACACAGCCTTTAGAAGCTGATCTCTACTGTGGCTAGGTGGTGTGCACAGGGATCTAACTTGCAAACTCTTACTATTTCTCTAAGGAAAACCTTGAGGTGGATTTATGCCTGGGCTGCCAGAAACCAGATTGAATGGACATGGGTACCATCAGATGTCACCTCTTCCTTTTTACAGGATGGGAAAACATATCCATAATGCTTGCCTCTTTTGCCTCGTAGCTTGAAAATTGTTGTGTAACAGCTGTCATAAGCTCAGCTTGTCCCAGTAACAACTTCACAAGCTAAATGCTTAAGTTTCAGTTGGTTATCCTTAGGCTAAGTAGAGGTGTTCTATATATGTTTAACAATATTATAATTCAGTTCTGGTTCTGTGTGATGGTAGGGAGGGGGAGGGATTCATGAAGCTGGAGCAGTATATCCAGAAATTAATGTGATGTAAAAAAAAAAAGTATCAGTAAAATTTATTGAGACATACACATACAGGAAAAAAAAGTCATTTCTATTAGCATCGCCAAAGCTTTAGAGACAACTTAACAAGATTTTATACTTACAAGTCAGTTTCCCTTGGCAGCTAGTTGCACAGTAGCTAGAGGACTGAGCCTGGAATAAGGAAGACCCACATTCATTCTAGCCTCAAACATTTACTAATGGTGTGATCCTGGGCAAATCACTTAGCCTCTTTTTGCCTCAGTTTTCTCAACTGTAAAATGGAGCAACTGCTAAAATTTGTAAGTGCTTGGCACACAGTAGATGCTCTGTAAATGCCACCTGTTAAATGAAAACAGAATTAGCAGGCTGTTGCTCATAGTGATTCTTCCTTAATTGTACACTTGACTGAATGTTCAGTTAATGCAAGTTTTACTTAATAGGTAAATGGAGCTTATTTTCTTAGGAAGGCTCTCTTCTGGGAATACAGGCAATCCACAGTCCACTTAAGCTGCTGCCAACACCTTATGCCCTCAGCCACCTCTCACACAAGAGGCAATCCCCACTTCTTATCTTGCCCCAGTGCTAGTCAGTCACTGGGGGGCAGGGAAGGTCAGGAAGAGCCTCTGTCACTGTCCCCGCTTTTGTTGATATGGTCTGTCCCCATCTCTTTAACTGCCTCTAAATATAGTTCCTTGAATCCTAACATCATCGTAGGTCTCACCAGCAGAATGAGAGAGATGGGGAAGGTAAATTGCATCTTGTGGTTATTTCTTAGTCCTCATAATTCCCTCTGCTGTCTTCATTTACCCAGACTTCCCTCCCCCCACCTCCCACTAGTTCGAATCCTGTTCTTTGGATTCAACGTTTATCAAGTGCCTTGCACTGAGGAGGTATACTTAAGTACTTGAAGGGAGCTGGGATCCCTCCAGCTATGCAGATCAGAAACCCAGTCTTGTTTTCTCATCCTGTGCAGTCCTCAGTGATGCCTTCTCAGAAACGCTGCATAGAGCGTTGTCCATGGTTTGCACAAACCTAAGTTAGTACGTAAACGGTCGAATCTTAAAGTGACACTTTTTATTCTTAAGCCAATAATGAGCCCTACAAGGTAGGATGGCCAAAGTGTCTTGTGAAATGATGTTTGCTGTCATTTGGGTTATGTGATTGAAAGCAACTCTGCCAATTATTTGTCTTTCCAAGGAGAAATCACACACTCCCCTTCCATTTACCTGCAACTTCTTCCCCATGTGTTCTGATCTCTTTTATAGCAAGGAGATTAACATTGGTATGGTTCACTTTCTTCAACTTGTTGGTTGTTACATGAAGATTTTAAATTTAGAGTAGCAATAGTTAATGTTTATAAAAGGACTAAAAACTTATTTTCAGCATCTTTTGTCCTCTTTTCCATCACCCTGCAATTTCCATTGAGAAGCTAGCAGGGGCAAACACAGAACAGAGGGCTACTTTATATTTTTGTTTCACGATTTGCCGTGGCCAAGGAATTGATCTGCTGGTCAACCTACTCATTATGCTTATCTTCGAACTGTTCGTGGTATTCCTCTAGCTGCAGACTGAACCAGGCCTGTACTCAAAGCCTTTAGCCTCATAGAGCCCTCCAGCACTTGTGCCCTCCCAGCACAACCTCTGTATGATATAGCAGAGTACTTTGATATCATGTTTCTGCAGGAGCTGGAGATAGAGATAAAACAAAGCTCCACTCCCTAAGGAGTGACTACTTTGTTCTCCCATCCCACTCGACTTGGTGGGGTCATACCCCAGGCTGAAATTCAGAATATATTCCCTCAAAAAAGAAAATGCATGTAATACAAGGTGACTAGATTCTATAGTAGTTATAGGTCATATATGTAAGAAACATGAGTTAAATAGGTTTTTGGGGTATAACTCATTTCTATAGGAAAGTATCTAACAAGGTTAAAACTACATACTTCTGTAACTGAAAACACAACATTTCTAAGTTAAGAACCACCATTAATTCATTCATGTGGGAGATATAATGTTTTAATAATAGAATAATAGTAAGTTTTTAGACCTTTTATAAACATTCACTATTGCTACTCTAAATTTAAAATCTTCAGGTAACAACCAACAAGTTGACCACTGCTGAAAAAAGTGAACCATACCAATGTTTAACTTCCTTGCTGTAAATAAGATCAGAATACATAGGCAAATGGAAGGGTAGTGTGTGATTTCTCCTCGGAAAGATGAATAGTTGACAGAGCTGCTTTCAATCACATAATCCAAATGGAACAGGAAATATTCATTCCCCTACTTTAAATTAAATTTCATGGGTTGTAAAGTCCTGCTAGTATTTATTTCAATGTGTTATCAAGATTTAATTTACATTAATGAATGCTTTACTCCATTGAGTCAGGTAGTTCCTTCAGGGATCACATTAATGCTAAGCTATTAAAACACCGTTGGTTTTTTTTTCCCCACAAAATGTTTTGTGTAGCTAAAGCAACTAATTTACCAGATTGTTTTTAAGCCTTAAAATTTAAATTTTATCCAATCGTTACTGAGAAAAAGGCCATCACGTTTAATATTTCATCTAAGATAGTTCCAGTGAGTCCCATTGCAGTTGTCAATCATTAATAAGATTTTTTTAAAAATATATTATTCTTACAATCAAACACATGAAATTAGCTCATTACTCAGTTTAATTAAAAGAACTTGTTTAGTTTAATTATCTATATATATAAACTATAAATTATATATATATATATAAACTATATATAGTTTAATTTCTATAAAATATGTTAATCCAATAAGCTCCAAGTAGACAGAGTCTTTAGAAGAATAAGTAGGAATTGAAATAGAGTAGTTGGGGGGTCTAAGAAAAATTGAACTGAAGCTAGAAATACTTGCCTAGAATTCTAAAAATCTTAAGGATTTGAGAGAGGTAAGGTGGTAGGAAAGAAGTAATGCTATAAGTAGTTGAAAGCTGATTTCTTTTTATCACTTTTTGTCTCTTGTTATTTAAATTGTATAGGACCTAGGATCTCCTACTATAGAGGAACAAGTTGATCAGTCCACAATCGATGATGAAACTATACTTATCGTTCCTTCACCACGTGGTTTTATCCAGACATCAGATGATATAGATAATGAATCTGTCTTGCCTCTGACAACACTAACAGGTAACATAGCATGACCCCTTTATGTAACTGACGTTTAGTGATTCAGGCCTCCATAACTCACGTATGCCAAAAGCCTGTAGCCTCCTCACTTCCTTAGAGATGTTGCTTGAGCTTGTAGGTATTTTCTTCCCCAGACTATTTAACTCAGCATCTAGAGTTCTCGTTATGTATATACTTTCCTGCTTATAATTAGTTTTTGGTTTTTAAACCTCCCAAAACTATAAATATTATGGGTGGGCTGTGGCAGTAATACATTTTTAATTCATGATGACTCAAAGGCAATTACTAAAATTGTGATAGAAGAAAGGTGCTTTCTCTACAAGGCTTTAATTACCATTGAATAGCTTCAGGATTTGTAAACAGCACAGGTGCCCTTTTTTTAGATTCTTAATGTATAACTCATTACAGATCCCATACTGCATCATCACCAAGAAGAATCACATATTATTGGATCATCCTTGGACAGTCCTATCTCAGAAGACTCAAAGGATGTTGAAGATTTGGTCAGCTGCCATTAAACACACACTTGGTAACAGGGCAGTTTTAAACAAGGAAGCCACTCTCAAAATCCCGTGCTGGTACCACTTCCAGAGAAAGGAGACCCTCTACACAGACAGGCTTAATTTACCATTCTTCTAGTTTTAAAGTAGCTCCCGTGCTTAAGCCATGTACACTGTTGTTGCTGTTGAGACTTTTTACCTCATTTATGATTACACAATTGCCTGAGGCCCACTTTCACTTACAGTGTGGGGGTTCTTGGTTGTGGAGATCTGTTACATTTAGTGTTGCCAGTGAAGCCATCAGCAAGGGATTTTGCTCACATCAGGTCCTGAGAAAGGGGTTAGAACCACCAAAACCTAATCGTTCTGCTTTAAGTGAGCAAAGGTGCTTAACTATGAGAATAGTCAGAGGAGGCCTTCTTTCCAGCTTCCAAGTTTGTATCTGATTAAGTTTCAGAGAAAAGTTTGCACACCTGTATAGTTTAAAGGGTACTAATGGCCTCATACAGAAGCATTAGGTATTTCTACCTTTTACTAGCATTTGACACCTAGTTGGGACATCTCTTGTATAAAAAATAAACGAGATGATTGCATCCTCTCATGAAGGCTGCTTCTGGCTGGCCCATTACTAATGATAAGAGTTGGGTTTGGTTATAAAAGCATTAATAGATACTGAAGAAAACTCAGCTGAAGTACAATTGTTTTTAAAAAGGGAAAAATCTGGATGAGAGTAGGCTTTCTCCCACACTCCAACCATTCAGAAGCTACTGCCCTGACTAAAATAAAAGGTGACCCATTCAACTTCTAAGAAGGGGTAATAATGTTGCCTTCCCAGGATACCAGACAGCTACTGCTTAGCTGATTTGTTACACTAAAGGCAACATAGAACCACTGATGGTATATAGGAGATAGGTGGTTAAGTGGAGGTATGGTATAGCAGCCTCTCCTGCTCAGGGGTTTGTTTTTAAATTGACTTGTGGAATGGAAGAAGGAAACAAATCAACAAGTCATTCCTGTATTAGAAGCATTTTAGCCAAGACAAGACTGACTGACTGATGATAAGGCTTTGATGAGTATGATCCCTATAGAAGAGTAAAAAAAAAAAAAAACCCTTGTATAAATTATTTTATTTATTATTGTAATTAGATTTTCACAATCAGAGTTTTGTCTTTTTACCATCTAATGTGCTTTTTTTTGTTAATGTGAAATGAAATTGTAGTTACAAGCAATGGTTGGTTGCATAGGGAACAAAATAATTGTATATTCAGTTTAACAGAAATAAAAGAATATTTGTCTTAGAGCTCTAAGATGTTGTTTGTTATATAACCCCCTCCCCGTGCTATAGTAGATTGTAAAAAAAAAAAAAAAAGATTTCAAAAGTGGAAATAACTTGTGCCATTCTGAATCCATATATGTGGAATGTTCATAAGTGCAACATCAGCTCTTTAAAAAGGAAAAGCACAATGTCACATCTTAGCTCCCAAACAAGAGGGAATTTAGATTTGCAGTTAACATGAAAATCATGTATTGAATTCCTGCACAATCTTGCTTCATCTTCAGTTTATTTTACCCAGAATTCCTGTTCAGAGTACTAATTTTTAGCTGAGAACAGTCTTGGTTTTATTCATTGGCAGCATCACTTCCCCACATCGTGGAAGTACAGGTTGGCACATATACATAACATGATGATAGAAAACAAGATATAGTAAATTAGATTTCTAAATTTCGGTTCCAAATCTCCTTGTCGATACCAGTAGATCTAAAGAAAAGGAATTGGGAAAGGAGGAAGAAATCAAATTAGGTGAAGAACCAGCATTTAAATATTTTTAGTACTACAATTCAAAATGCAATTAATTCTCCTTCCCCACTTTGACCCACATAGGTCAGGAAAAGCACCTTGTTTTGTTCTGATCTTACAGCATAGGATTTTTGACTCTGTACTATCTTATTCTCTCTACCTTACAGTCACAGAAGTGTTTAAACTTTATGCTTCTATAGCCAATGTCCTTCTCCAACTCAAATATATAAGTATAAAGACTTAATATGCATTTAAGATAATGCCTCACCTACTCACATCTACACCTATTATCCAGAGTTTAAAGCTGAAACAAAGTATATTATTTCTCAGAGCTTACTAAGGGAGTACTCTAGAAAATGGCAATTCTTATTTCCTAGAAATATTCACAATACCCTAACTGGTTAAAGTATCATTCCAATTTGGGAGGCCCTGGGTGAATGCAAAAATCAAATCTTAGAAAATGGGCCCCATTTTTTAAATCATTTGATTAGGCTGGGACACTTTAAAAAAAAAAGTGTCCATTGGGCATACATTTATACTACAACACCTTATTACAGATGACTCCATTTTTTCCAGCTCTGTGTCCCATTTCAAGAGGTTTTAAAGTTGGAAAGGGAGTAATGTCTTCCTAATAACTATGCCTTATTTATCCCTCCCAAGTTCTAAAAGCCAAGTGTGATGACTGCTTCAGTAGATTACACTTAGCTTTTTTTATCCAAACGATGATCTTTGTATCTCAATATTTCTAACCCTATGTAAGCAGAAGTGGCAAGTGACAGAATCATTTGATATTACCTTTCTTAAAGGAATACTCACCACTGGGAGGCATGTACGTATCTGATTAGGAAGGGCTTTCATGGTTAAATCTGCCAATAAGGGTATCATTGGCAGGTAAAACTGGCCAGAAACTTTAAGCATTAGCAGTTTCCATTTTGGGAGATCTGTTCACTGATCTTGTAGAAAATAATGGTGTTTGAAATGTCAGACTGGGAAGAGGAAGGGCAAAAGGCCCTTTATCACAAAGACAAAGCTCACACTACCCATAATGCCCCATCTTTCCTTAAAAGGGCATAATAACCCATTCACTTGGACTTCACTCAATTTAGAGTACAGGCTTGGTAAAGAGGATTATGTTCTAATTTACTGGGCTATATAATCAACTCTGTACACTGGGATCCACTTGGGATGTTATTGCCTTAAACTCCTAGGCAATAGTATTATAGCACTAAAGCAGTGATTCAATTCAAATACTGTGGAAACTCAACCTGTGCCCCTCCCAAGGTAGATTTTTTTAAACTAATACTGGTTTTGAGAATTGTGACACATGTTGTTTATGGAAATGGAATATTAATGGAAATGCCTGATGTATTATCTCCATTTACCAAACCAGGATTAGGAAACCACTGGCCCTATATCCTAACAGCATCAAGCCCACTAAAACTGAATAAGAGTTATCAGAGAAGCTTCATTTAAAATTCCAAATCATACTTACAAGTATGCAGGCAGTAATGCAACTCAAGGAGATGCAAACAGCAAAAAATATATTCAGTGGTTTTGGAGGTAGTTGAGGGAACACAAAAGCACTGATCATAGTTACCTATATGGAAAAAAAAAACTCAATAATACTTTGAAATAACTCTCAAAGATTTGGTTACATTAGAATTCAGGGAATAAAAATGATGAAAGCCATAACAGTTCCAATCCTTAGACTCTTTAACAGAGATTGGGAGCTAAGTGTTAAGGGCTTACAGCAGTTTTGGAAAAAAAAGAAAGAAACCTACAGATATCCTCTCCCCTCCCCCTGCTTTAGTGTGACTGGATCCAAAGTAGCTTGAAATTAACTTCTATTTATTCTGAATATTTCTGTCAAGGAAAAGAAACAGAGGCAAGGGCTTCCTATATGTCACTTTCATATATATTTGCTAACCACTTCTGGGGTGTCCTGAAAAAGAATCAGCCCTCAACCCTAGTATAATGTATCTTCTACCCTTCAACCCCACACAAACCCCATTCTCAGCTCCACCCCCACCCTCAAAAAAGCCAAGTGATGGAAACCAGCTGAATTCATTTGGATTTCACCATTAACGCCTATTTAGGTTCAACTTTGCCTGTGTAGGGAGAACAAAGAGCCCATTTGCCCAAGAAATGTGATGGCCCCTTGGATTCCACACTCAATAGGAAAGTCAGGCATAAACTGACCAGAGATGATCCCAATAAATAAAGGCTTAGAGAGCCTAAAACTAAAGACAAGTGTCAGCCACAGCTTTTAATTTCTTTTGGCTGGGCTGAAGTGCCTTCCTGGCTCTAGAACATGGCGTAACTTTTTTTTCCATCTTTATGGTTTAAGAAATCCCCTCAGTGTTTTTAAAGGGTATGTCCTATCCTAGCCCACCCTCCCCCACATAGTCTATAATCAGAGGTTCCCAAAGTGGGTGGTACCACGCCCTGGGGGGTGCTGGAACGATTGGGGGGGGCGGCTATTGAATAAAAATAAAGGGGCAGTGGAAACATAAGGGAAGAAGAGAAGATAAGAAAATTTTGAAAAACTTTGTATGTGTTTCATCTGTTGTGTAACAGTTAAAGTCGTGGTGATTACATTATTTTCCAAATAAATACATAAGATGCAAATTATAACTGATCTGGGCTTAAGTCCTCCAACTGGTCTTAACAAGCAAGTGTTGAGAGGCAAATGTGCTGTGCATCTTTGGGAAGTCCAGCATGCATCAGCAAGAATAAGTGCATATGATGACTTGTTTACAATATGATACTACATGGTTACATGATGCAATATTGCATCATCAAAATTTCAATGCAGGAAAAAAACCCACAAATTTACAATAAATTATTAAATTTAAGATGCGTGTCATTTTTTTTTTCAAAAAAAATACTTGTTTATTTGAAATGATGCAAATTTTTTTAAAAAACCGTTAAAGAGTTAAAGAAAGTAGATTTCCTCAAGGGGGGGCTCGATGAGTAAATTTTTTTTAAAAAAGGGTAGTGGCTAAATAAGTTTGGGAACCTCTGGTCTACATGTTTACCAATGTAAAGACACCTCCAAAACCTGTAACCTGGGATATGGAGAAAGATGGGAAAAAATCCTTTTGTAAATTAACTAGATAGACAAGAAAAGCAGACCCCTTCCCCACAACCCTACCCCTCACTGTCCAAGGGCAGATGATTCCTTTTGTGGGATGCCTCACGTCCTTGGCTTCTCCTTTGGGCTATTTCATTTTCCCTTTGTGGTCTCAAGGAAATGGAAATCAAAAGTACCCCTGCTTAGCTACTCCCAGCTAAATGAGGAAGAGGCTGGGTAAAAAGGATTGGCTCAGCTAGCTATGATCCAGATACCTGTAGCAGGATCCCTCTTTAATGAGGAAGTTGATTCACTCAGCATTCTGGCAAGTTCAGGACTATGAGTGGGACACTCAGGTCTACATCATAATTTAAAAAACAAAAAACCCACACTTACCAGGAGCAGCAAGAATGTCAAGCTGCCAACAACTAAGTTAATGACACGATCCTGGAAAGAGAGGAAGGAGATGTTTGAGACACCTTAATTTTATCCAGGCTGGTCCCAGAGGAACAGCTTAAAACGTGCATGTGGGAGACATGTGGTGGGATAACAGAGCTTTGAGAAGATAGCAGAAGGGAAGCAGGCCGGTGCTTGGTGAAGGAAACTTGGAGGTGGTGGAGGCGGGGGTAAGAGCAAAGAAGAGGGTTCAGTCAGGTTTTAGGAGACTTTGAAAGCCAGATTTGGGAGGGGGGGAGAGAGAGAGAAAGAGAGAGAGAGAGACACACACACACACACACACACACACGCACACACGCACGCGCGCGCCTGGTTGAAACTCTCCTTCCCCACCTATCTCTTTCCCTGAAAATTCAGAGTTCATAAGATTAGCAGACTCAAAGGGAAATGCCCTATCCCGGCAAAAGTTTCAGGTATGTAAGCTAACACTTAGCTTACTACCTCTCATTCTTTGACCAAATATTTGATAGTGGAACATTTTTTTGACATGGACAAGACCTTAAGAGATCTTTTAATCCAGATGGTTCATTTGACAGATGAAGAAGACAATTCAGAGAAATAATCTAAATCTAAATCTAAAGGTAAGACCTGATGCCGTTTAGATTATTTCTCTGGCTCGTCTGTGGATGTGCCACAGTTTGGTGGCACGGTAGATAAAGTGCTGGGCCTGGAGTCAGGAAAACCAGAGTTCAAATTCTTCTCCAGAGAAGTAATAGTTGTGAGACTCTGGGCAAATCACTTCACTCTCACCTTCAGTTTTCTCCTGTAAACTCAGTAGACTACGCTTCCCAGGGGTGTTGTGAAAAGAAAGCAAATATTGTAAAGCATTCTGCAGATCATAGAGTGATATACAGACTGATAAGAACTCAAGTAAGAACACCCCATCCCATCTCCTTATGTGTAGTGCTTTGAGCTGGGCACTTGCCTGCTCCCAAGAACAGAGAGGAGGAACCTAAGATCATAGGTGGTGGTCAGGAGAAGCAAGGACAAATCATCTAACACTAGATTTTTCCTACTAAGATTTTAAATACTCATTGAACAAAACATTTATGTTCTTTTGAAAAAGTCATTATTATCAGAATGTTAAGAGCTAGAAAGGACCCATGGATATAATGCTTGTCTTGGAATATGGAAGACTTGGTTTCCGATCCCTCCTCAGATACCTGTCCCTGGTCAAATCACTTAACCTCTGAGCTTCTGTGTTCTCATCTGTAAAATGGGAATAATAACAGAACTTAACAAAGTTATGAGGATCAAATAATATATATATATATACACACACATATACATATGTACATATGTGTATATATACATATATGTGTGTATATATACATATATATTATATATATGAATTTCAACTATTATTTCACAGATGAAAAAGTAGATCCAGAGAAACTAAATATTTGCCCCAGGTCCCAGGGAGTAAGCAAAAGCAGGAATTAAACCCCAGGTGTTAGACATCAACTACTTTCTAATATAACAAAGCAGCACTTAGATTGTTTTGTTTTGTTTTTAAATTAAAACCACTTTAAGTTAAAATACTATTTATTTCCACATGGACCTTCATTGTCAGGTTCCTTCCTTCCTCTTCCCCTGGCACCCCACCCCCACCAGCTGTCCTGAAAATGGGGGAGGGTGTTCTTTTTTCAACAAATCATATATTTAGAGTCAGAGGGGACATTAGGAATCATTTAGTCCAAACTCCTCATTTTACAGATGAGGAAACTGAGGCCAGGAGATGTCGATCAGGATTGCACAAGTAGAAAATGGCAAAGTGAGAGGATCTGGATTTGAATCCTAACTCCAAATCCAATGCACCTTCCATATTAAATCCTGCTAATAATCTTCTCCAAAAGCTTAGTCTAATCCTTCAAGAAACTATTCTTTCCTTCCCCTTTATCCTGTACCACCAATCTACCCAAAGTTAAGCCCCGCTTCTCCCATATATAAAACGTCTTCACAAAGGAAAGAATCACAGCATCAGAGGGAACTTGGAGGACATCTGGTCCAAATCCCCTCATTTTACATTAGTAAACTGAGGCCCTGAAAAGTAAAGTGATTTAAACCAGACTCCTCGCTTGGACTTTGCATTGTACCACATGGGAAAAGAACCAGAGTCCTGGCCTACTTTACTACTTAACTATCCCTTCTGGAAGTCCTGTAACTCAGTTTTACTCCCAAGGACCATGATAGTTGGTCTGAATCTGTTTGGCTCCCCATCTGTAACAAGCTAAGTCAAGGACATCAAAGTCCTCTATGTATGGGGCAGCCAATACAGAATTAAATATTCAGTCCATAGGTTCCACAGCCTAAACATATTAACAACAACATCACTACAACAACCTTTACTCTTATTCATATGCTAGAAGATTGACAAAGTTACTTTGTTCCACCATTCTGGGAAGTCCATGGTACAAGTATTATTACCACCATTTTACAGATAAGAAAAATGCCAAATCAAAGGTTAATCCACTTGGCTGCTCCACACTCAGAGCTTCTTAATGCAAATGCACATTTTTTTTTTTTGTGAGGCAATTGGGGTTAAGTGACTTGCCCAGGGTCACACAGCTAGTAAGTGTTAAGTGTCTGGCCACATTTTAACTCGGGTCCTCCAGAAAACTCGAATTTTCCATTATACCAAGGAACACTAGGATAATGTAGGAGCCTTAAATTAGGAGGAACCAGGTACAGTGGGAAGACCCCTAGACTGGCATCAGCCTGGTGCTAGTTAGATGAGACCTTGCTCCCCTCATCTTTCCAATGAGGGAATCTGACTCTTCCAGCTCCAAAATTCTGAGTCTGTCATCTAATCTCCCCCTCATAGCCATTTCAGAGAGCTTTTCTTTCACGGGTCCCAAGCAGGAGGTCCTCCAAGCTTGCTGAGTTCCAGCTTCTGGCTCCAGAATGTGATTTGAAAGAGTGCCACAAGCTTAATTGTACAGGTCCAGCAGAGCATCCCAAAGGACTGGGAAACAATATCCAGGAATGGAATTCTAGACAGCCCCCTGTCCTTGGGTTCCCCGAAATCATCTTGCCTCCAGAACACAGAGCTAACTCATGACAGTGGCACTTAGAACTCCATGGCAGATGGGAAAAGGAAGGAGAGCTATGCCAAGAGTAAGATGTAACAACCCATTTTCCAAAATTTCTCTCTTCCATGTATGATCTCATTTAATCAACACAGTACACCACGCCAGGTCTATGATGGGCAGGAGATCAAGTGAGACATTCAGCAACAATGGAAGATAGGACCCAGAGCCCTGGAATTCCCTGGCTTCTGTGCTAGTCTAAAGAAACAACAGAAATGTACCTTCCTTTAGAGTGGTAGGGAAGCATGGGTGTGGAATGTTGCTTCCAATGCCACACGTGGGTCATTTTTTTTTTTCTTCCTTGTTAGGGAGGGAAGAGTGGGTATATATGCAAATAACCAAAATTAAAACAAAAAGGCATCAAAACTTTTTTTTTAAAGGAAGAGAAAAAACAACAGAAAGATCAGAGAAAAATCTCTAAGCTACAGCCATTGACCCAAGGCTGGATCCCTTGTCCTCACTTTTTCCAGAACTTCTAAAATGCATGATTTCATTAACAAATGAAAAGGTCTGGCTTCAGGAACAGAGGATCTGGATTTGAATCTAGGCCATACCATTCACTACCTGTGTAATCTTGGGTAAGTCACTTAAACTCTGTGGGCCTGTTTCCTCATCTATAAAATGGGGGTGTTGGACCAGATGGCCTCCAAGATTCCTTCCAGTTATCAATCTAGAATCCTGTGAATAGGCAATATAATCTTCATTGGGCTATTTAATATTTGCAGAAAGGAGGGTATAGGGCAGGGGTAGTGAACATGCAGCCTCAAGGCCACATGTGGCCTTCTAGGTCCTTGGGTGTAGCCTTTTGACTGAGTCCAAGTTTTATAGAACAAATCCTTTTATTAAGGGGATTTGTTCTTCAGATTCAGTCAAAGAGCCACACTTGAGGACCTAGAGGGCCACATGTGACTTCAAGGCCGAAGGTTCCCCACCCCTGGTTTAGGGGAAGGACTGAGGATATAATCTCCAATATTACCCTGCAAGACAGTCTAGAGAATGGTTTTAAGTGGTAGGATTTTCCTCAAATTTTCCTTTCACAATTAGATTTTAGATTTTTTTCTCCCTGTAGACAAATAATCCAGAAGCTGAAACTCTAGGAATCAGCTTGCCAGAGGAACCAGAGCCTTTCAGAGCCCTGTCCTGCACACTGCTGCATTTTGTAGATAGATTCCTGGCAGCACCCAGGCCAGCTCAGCCCTGCAGTCTGACAAGTGGCTGCTCCAGCCAGCTTCTGGCCAGATGACACTGGATTTTTAGGTTCCACTACTCTCAAAGCAATACTAGCAGCACTGGGGAGCGGGGGAGCGAGGGAGCTGGTGGCGTAGAGCTCAGTTAGTCTGTCCACAACTAGAGGCAGCTACAAAATCTCTGTTGCTAGTTTCATGGATGACTGCAACAATCCCAGATGAAGAAACCCTCCCTACAATGCTACAAACTCAGCAATCCCAGGGAGGAGCCACAAAATCAGTAGAAAGCTTCCTGTGCAGCTCAGGTCAGAGTCCATTCCCTAAAGAAATCCCCTGCCACAAAGGGAAAGGTGCTAAGATTGGGAGGGAGAAGGAGAAACCAAAAGACAAGCACTTCGATTCCTGGCTTTATCTTCTCCATGCCTCTTATCAGAAATGAGGATTGATTAGAATAAAGAAAAAGGAACCAGGCTCCTGATAAGGAAAAGCAGAAGGATAACTAGTTGTGCAGAGAGAAAATGCTGCGGTCCTCTTTTCACATTTAATATTTTGAAAAAGCAAGTACTTCATTCAACTCTCCAGGAAACAAAACTTCGTTCCTACCTACCTCCCTTCCCTCCAAGTCTCTGCAGAAAGACCAGTTATAAATGGGCGTCATAATAAATACTTTGGAAACTTGATCTATGCTTTGGCATTATAAAAAAGGGGAGGGGTG